CGACGGGCGCGCAACATATTGGGCTATTTATTGAAGCGCGCGCGCACCGCCCTCGCCGCCCCGGCCGCGATCGATAACCGCCCGTATCGATCCCGCCGCGGGATATTAACAAACAATCATAGGACATCAACGACGAGACCGAAAACCTATCTCTCATCAACCGAATGATCATTGTTCTATACTCTTCGTATATACTGTGCTACTTATAATATTTTGTATTCAAGTTTTGCTATGTGTGTGTGCATTACTATAATTCTCATGTTGTATTTGTTATTTTAGCTATTCTACACACACTCATCACTTTTAATTATTATTCTCATAATCCTCTCGCAGGTCTGCTGGAAGAGATTTCTTAAAGAAATAAGCAGTTTCTTTGTACATAATTTTCCTATTACTCTGGTACTATGTCTTGTTTTTTGTGTGTACATAAATAAAAATGTTTCGATCGAATAGCGTTCGACACAAATCGCGCATTGCGCATTGTCCGAGTCTGTTGTTGCGATACCATAGTCGTTGTCCGTGCATTCATTTACGATTATGTACAGTTGAGTAATAGTCGAACTTATTGCGTCTCTGTATTTCTTAGCCACTCACTATTCGTTAAACTCTGACGTAATACTGATATTTTTGCCGCGAAGTTATAGTTCCGTTATGAAGAATGGATCAGCCGTTTGTAAATGAAATTTAGAATTCATGTTTCAAAATGGGCGGGGAATTTGTTATGTTTATGATCTCTGGGAACCATTTAATACCAGGTGGGCCATTAAACCGTCTAAGCAATAAAAAAAATGCTCCATTCATTTTGACATAGGTCACTTCCGAAGGTTTTGTTTTTGACTAACTTATCTAGTTTTAAGTTTTATAGTTAAGAGCTAGTAAACAAGTACCTGCAACAGTACTATAGATTCGCGATTGTCGGACAAGGCTCGGGCGGTCCGTGACGTCGGCGGGGCTACGCGAACCTGACGTCACACGCACGTGGGCGTGTGCGACAGAGACGACAAACCAACCACCTCGGGTGGGACCGAGCCCGCGGAGGGCGCGCCAATTGAGATCTCGATGCGGGTCAATACGAACTCTAATAACATGAAGACTACGTTGATAGTAGTAGACTAAAAGAATCCGCGACAGCACCACGTTTTTTGCACATGAATAGTTACAAAAATGATGTATTTGAAATTGTTATCGAGCAATGCAACAGCAACCGGTTCTATTGATCCGAGTAGCTCGTTCAAATAATGGGCCAGCATGTGCGCTTAGCGTCTAGGCGGAGAATGTTACCGCAGCGGTTAACCTCGGCCGACCGCCCGATTGTAAACACAACGCCTCGCAGATCTGATGCGCGACGATGTCTTGCTTGTGGCACGTTGCTAAGTATGACCGACTCCCCGGTATTTACATTCCGTTTTTAATTGCAAATACCGTAATTTCAAAACAGTCCAGTGTGCTTAGTGCGAGTTTTTTAACGTTCTCGATAGCGTTAAAGTTAACTCAAATTTGTATGGAGTTTGAACGTAAGCCTACGTTTGCCGCTAGGGGCGTTGTTCCAACTGCATACAAATTTGAGTTAACTTTAACGCTATCGAGAACGTTAAAAAAATCGCACTAAGCACACAGACTTGGAACTGTTGTTTATTGTAGCAGTACAGTAGGGCACAGAATACGCGATTCTAGCCGCCTAACCATATACACTAAACTTGTAAAAATTATTGTCCTACATTGAGTTATAAAGAAGTTACAATGTGTATATTTTTGCACACACGGACACGAAGCTAAGTTCACGTTTTTCGCGCAGCGGTCGGTTGCACGTTCGGCGTGCTGCCGTGTGTGTACATATGTATGAACATGTTTGTTCGTTTTACTACACGTCTTCAAGGTCTAAAACTGTGTTTACGATCTGATACTTCGAGTATCGGTACACAATATAAGACGTTGAAGTAGAAATGACTTTTTACATATTAAAGTGTTTGGTTATATTATGATTTAATAAACCACCGGATGGGCCTTTAATGCTAGTAAAAAAAGGGAAATAAAATAGAAGTCGTTCCAAAAATGACTTCAAATTTACAGCACAGACGATAATTATAAATAGCAAGTGATGAATGAAGTTGGTGCTAGTCGGTCACGAAGGGAATGAAGTCTGGGCGCAACTATCCCAAAATAAAAATAAAATTATGTTTATAACAAAAATCTATATTGTGAAACCCCGATGTATAGGAAAGGTAATCTTGAGTCGGCTCATAGTTCCACGTGTTCGGGTAGTGTCGCGTCGTCCACGACGAACATAAATCTCATTGTATCGCCTACCAGCCGATCGTTAAACACTTACTTTATTGGCTGCTCGATGGAAATTAACGACAGACTGTCTTTAAGTGCCTAAATTAAACTCCCAACATTAGAATACCGTATTAATTGTTTGTCTTATTTTTTGTTTTCGTAAAACCGAAACATTGCAAGCTTAGTGGAAAATGCTCTTTAGAAATCTTGACATAGAACATCATAAAGCAACAATGCGATTGCGTTATCGTGTAAAGTATATAACGTAATAACCCCGCGTCTGTCTATTCGAACGTTATCGGGTCGTTATCAGCGGCATTAAGCGCAACACTAGTTTGTTTGCAACAAACAATAGCGCGGCAGTGGTAATCGCGTGGTGATTACCTGGCTCGCGTCGGCGGAGGAGGCGGTGAGGGCGCAGCGGCGCGCGTCGTCTGCCCGCTATCGATTCCGACCCGGTGCCAACCGCCGACCGCCGCACGCGGACCGAAACCTGCGACCTTGAACCTTAAACAACGCCGCTTAATTGCACTTTACAAATGATGCACTCTTATCGCTAAGCAAAAAAAATTTTTTTTTAAGAATCAACCATATCTTGAACGATTACCGAGGGCAAAGTTACGAAACTAAACATGCAGTCGGCTCTAGATTAAGAAATCGTTACCGGTTTCGAAACATCAAAACTGGGTAATGCACGTACGATAAACCAATATATTGGTTTGCATCAGACAAATGATTGATCGTCGTTTTGTAAAAAAACTTGGGATTGTGTGGTTTTAGTATAGAGCGGCGCTGGTAGCATGGCGCGGTCGGGATCGTGACTCGGTCGGCATTCGCGCTCACCGGTACCCGGCATACGGTAAACGTAACCGTTTGTGGTGTCGGCGGCCTTGGAAGGCGGAGCGGACGACGCCGGACCGGCCGCGGATCTTAATTGTACGAGATTAACCTATTTTTGGACGATCCACTCGAAATATATTTGGTTGTTTGCTTCATTCAAATCTAGCCTATGTATTTGTTTTGTTAATTAATACTATTCTCTTTTTGACGGTAAACTAGGCCCGTTGAGTCCTCGAAAGCTGTTTTTTTATTGCTTTGATGAGCGGACGGGCTCACAGCCCACCTGGTGTTGAGTGGTTACCGGAGCCCATAGAAATCTACAATATAAATGCGCCACCCACCTTGAGATATAAGTTCTAAGATCTCAGTATAGTTACACCTGCTGCCCCACCCTTCAAACCGAAACGCATTACTGCTTCACGGCAGAAATAAGCGGGGTGGTACCTACCCGTGCGGACTCACAAGAGGTCCTACCACCAGAAAAAAGCTGTATCAGCCTATAAATATTAATCAAGCCCTATGACTGTAGAGTAAATATATTTCTAAACCTTTATTACCTTTTGTCACTCCTGCTCCCGTGCAAGGAGAGCCGTCACAGCACTTCGCGATTGTATGTAGTTGTTCAAACAATTTGAAGCAGGCCAGTAAGTAGTTTGTAGTTTTACAGCAGACCACAGCTGACGACAGCCTGACGCCCTTGACTAACTACTTAACTGTTCAATTTGTTACAAATTACAAAGTACACGGTGCTCTTTTTAAATTTTTCTTTGCAAAACAATTTTTCATGTATTTTCATTAACATTGACTCGTTAACTGATTCGCGGCATAACGTTTTAACTTCCCAGGAATCTGTGACGGGCGCGCGCCAGATACTGGAAAATCTAGTTCATTTTATTTGATATGAGAAGGTACGCGCACTGCGTACACCTGGAATACGAATGTCAAGGCTGTTCGCTTGGAAACGCTCCAGCGGTATCGAGGCGATTCAACAAATGTCACTGCAGATAATGCTCCTCTGTGTCTTTATGCGATAAATTTATTTGTTGTTTTTGTTGCGGCATAAGAGGCAAGTACAAATAAGTACTTTTATCTAACTGGGCTCTTTTCAAGGTGTCCGTAAATTATCGCGTCGTCATAGAAAAGTGTAAACAAAGTCATCATTAAACGATTTCCGCGTAGAAATTTCAATGTCAATTAAATTGTTAGCGGACGCTAACCACGCTTCGCATGTGTGTTGTGTGCGGCGCGCGCTACAAACACAAGCACGTGCGCTTCGGTCGCGAACGTGTGACGTCAGGCAGNCATAACGCGGACCAATTGCAGCGTTGTCGAGTGACCGCTGCGAAACCCGAATTGCTCGGGTCTGAGAAGGATGTGCGGCGACACCCTTCTCAGCAGCAGCCGCTCGAACAACTTGCCCATATGCGACAGCAGAGTGATCGGACGATAACTGGAGGGATTTCTCCTATCCTTGCCGGGTTTGGGCAGGGCAATAACCTTGGCGGGGCGGCAACGTCGCGCGCTCGTGTTTTGTTTTCGCATCTAACGCCAGTGATAGGCCGGGTTTATCTTCCGATTGCGAATGCAACAACAGCTATTTCTGTAGCGTAACTTACAACGCTTGCATCCAACGAAGATCTTATCGCCTCAACGTACCGCTACAAAGTAGGAATCTTCATTGTCGTCTCGACCTTGAACATTAACATTGGTATCTTCACGAAAATATATTTTAACATAGTAAACAATGCGTAACATTCTGACTTGTTGTTTAAAATAATAATAATAATAGTGCATATATGTATAAATTTCTAAAAAACTAGAACAAATTCTAAATGGTCACAATGCCGGATTATTAATGTTTTTTTTGTTTTACTTGTTCACAGAAAGCGAACACGGCTCCTGGGAGAGCGGTCTGTCGTACGAATGTCGTTCCCTGCTGTTCAAGGCCTTGCATAACTTGATCGAAAGGTAAAAAACTCTTAAATATATTTACTACCACACATTCAAATTGCAAGTAAATTTTGCAGACTGACAATAAGGCTGCGAAAAGAATGCAATTTGTTCGTAAAATTAAATTGTGTTCCATTGATATCGTAATTTTATGATAATTGTCTTGACATGCTATTATTAACACGATTACATTGAAGTCGCGGTCGAAAATATAAATATTAAAAGGTACTTTTGTTTTGATTATAATAAACACGGCACTGATAGTGATTTAGAATATAATGAATAATAAAATCGTATCGTTTTACGGCGAAGGTCGATTTTTAGGATTCTCGCGTCTTATCTTACTTATCCTCGATTACGAATGTAGTCTCGAAGTACAACGCGGACAGTGAATATCGGAACGTATTTGAAGTTTTTCTCTTGACGAAGGTCAGGCATACAGAAATGTTTCACGGTAGTCGTTGCACCTGGCTGGGGCCGGTCGCGTCGTCCTCGCCGGAGGTCGGTGTGCTTAGTGCGAGTTTCTTAACGTTCTCGATAGCGTGAAAGTTAGCGCATTTGTATGATATTACTGGTGGTAGGACCTCTCGTGAGTCCGCGCGGGTGGGTACCACCACCCCGCCTAATTTCTGCCGTGAAGCAGTAATGCGTTTCGGTTTGAAGGGTGGGGCAGCCGTTGTAACTATACTTGAGAATTTAGAACTTATATCTCAAGGTGGGTGGCGCATTTACGTTGTGGATGTCTATGGGCTCCAGTAACCACTTAAGGTGGGCTGTGAGCTCGTCCACCCGCCTAAGCAATAAAAAAAAAAAATGGGTTCGTTTGCCTACGTTTGCCGCTAGGAGCGCTGTTCCAACAGCACACAAAATTGGGTTAACTTTTACGCTAACGAGAACGTTAAGAAACTCGCACTAAGCACACGGTGCATCGCATCGCGCCGGGGACGCTCTAATGTCGTTTTTTGCAACGCGACACGCTTGCCTATCAACGTTCATCGTCCGCTATCAACCGGTTCACGGAGCAAATACGCTATACACCAATCGATAACATAAACAACAAGAACAGAATATTATAATAACTTAGTGATCCCCCGGTAGTCGAAATTCGGCTCTAATTAATTGAAATTATAGGTTTATACACTATCAAATACTATTTATACTCCTATAGTCATAGATTTCGCCAAGATTACACTTTAGACAAAAATATTAATATAGACAAACCATAATTAATCTATTCTCAATTCGACCACAGACTTTAAGCAATAAGAAAAGTTTGACATTAAAAAAATAGTATGCATGCGTGTGTGTGTCAAATACATGGTAGTGTGTGTAATGTTTTTTTTTTATTGATTTAATGTATATTTTATGCATAATTAAAAAAAAATTAACATTTTGCACTCCTTCTCTATTTATTCTCTAAAGTGTGGGAAATTTTAATACTCTTCCGTTCGCGCAATTTTCGTAAAAAGGGGTACAAAGTTTTTGCTTCAAGGATTAATATTATAGATGTAACGAGCATTCCGATAGAGGCACCCGTCACGCGCGGACGTGCTCATCGACCACTCGATCGCCCGGCCTTTGTTCGCCCGGCTTTTGTTAGCCCGGCCATTGTTCGCGCGGCCTGTGTTCGTGGTACATCTGCCGACCAAGTGTTTTTCCTGGAAGTTTTTATTTGTTTTGTTCCCTTTTGTTATTTCTGTGTTCGTGGTACATCTGCCGACAAACNCCAATAACCTTTGCACTAGACGCCTTCAGCTCTAAGAGCAGGCTTAGGGACCTCGGTAACCGTACTCGTCGAACTCGACAAAGAGTTCGCCGTGCAACCTAACCCATGAATCAGCTCGCTGAGTTTCTCGCCGGATCTTCTCAGCGGGTCGCGATTCCGATCCGGTAGTAGATTCATTCGCGAAGCAGCTACTCTTGAGTTGTTAGGTCTCCTTCGGAGGCGCTCGGGTAGCTGTTCGCAAATCCCACCCCTTCTGGCTGAGCCTTTGCTCGCCCACCTGTCCTGGTGAAACTGGAAAGGCCTCCGGGCCACCAGTAATCCTTCAATCATAAAAAAAAAAAAAAAAAAAAAAAAAAAAAAAAAAAAAGATGTAACGAGGTGACGTCGCTCTAAAGAATCTCCAATAATCAATTGTGGAGCGTGACGTAAGAAGCGCAGGCACCGGCGTGATGCCCCGGCCGGGTGCCGACGGCACTGCGCTACAGAATCTCGCTATATGAACGAAATCCAGACGAGTCGTTGACCCCGCGGTGTCGGCAGGCGGCCACGTCAAAGAAACAATGCGTGTTTGCCTCGATGCGACCGACGTACAATATGCACTCGGTAATCGGGACGCAACATTAAAACGAAACACAAAAAAAATATCCTTCAAGTTATCCCGTGCGTGATCGTTAATCTGACGATTTAATTGAGTCTGTATTTTTTTATTGTCAGTTTTATGACGTGATGCGGTTTGTTAGGTTATCAAACATGATTATAAAATAAAGTTTTGATTCAATTTAAATTGGTTTATTGATTAAATAAATTCCAAGTTTTTTTGTTTTTGTTTTGTAATACAACAAGCTTTTTTCTGTAATCTTTAATCAAGTCAGCGTACTTTGATATGCACATGTAAAATAGAGAATTCTGCGGATACTCGTATATTGCGCACACGACGTCGTCTGAGCGTTACTGGATCGGGATCAAAGACCGGAACGGACGAATAGATTTCATTGTATCCTTTCAATACAACAATAAAACGATTAATTCAGATATAGGCAGGTAGGTACATTTAAAAATGATGAAACTAAGCGGTAAGATTAATTCATATCAAAAGGTTATTATTATTAACGACTTATTGCTCCTATTGTAATGTTTTGTTAAGGGATATTTTGTTTCCCGAATAAAAGTTTGTTTGTTAGAATTGAGGTTGATCAATTTCTGCAACAATAGCGCGCAGCAACGTTAACGAATATAATTATGACATCGACCCCAATCAACGACTGTTGATAACAACATCTTGTAAACTTCTGGTTTTTGTCAAAGTCGTGTGTATATACAAGGGATTATTGTATAAAAATACATAATATGTTCGTACAGAGTACGAGTTTACTACTTACCCGTCAACCGTTATTCGGTGTTCTCGTTCGCCTAGATAATTTAGGGGTGTTTTTTAAATATAATTTTCTATTGCTTTGGTGGGTGGACGTCCTCACAGCTCACCTGCTGTTAAGTGGTTACTGGAGCTCATAGACATCTACGAAGTAAATGCGCCACCCATCTTGAGATATAAGTTCTAAGGTCTCAAGTACAGTTACAACGGCTGCCTCACCCTTCAAACCGAAACGCATTACTGCTTCACGGCAGAAATAGGCAAGGCGGTGGTACCTACCCGTGTGGACTCACAAGACGTCCTACCACCAGTAATTACGCAAATTATAATTTTGCGGTTTTTCATTTTTATTACACGATGTTATTCCTCCACCGTGAAAGTCAATCATGAACATTTGTTAAGTACGTATTTCATTAGAAAAATTGGTACCCGCCAGCGGGATTCGAACACCGGTGCATCGCTTCAACACGAATGCACCGGACGTCTTATCCCTTAGGCCACCGATACCCGAAGTCGGTTACGTTTTAAATTTAGCACGACAAACATTGCACACGGCGGCGGCTCGCCGGGCCCCCGGTCTCCGACACCTGCGCGTGCTCCGTCGATTCCCTCCCCGTTATGAAGGCAGTTTGCATGCCGACCAACGCGGCGGGCAACGCTTGCGAGCGTGCGTGCCCATGTCTGCATCCTTTGAATACGGTACATACACACGTCCGACGAACGAGTTTGTTTCAAATGTTGAATTGTAATTTCATCCTTTGTCGATTGGTTGCATGTTTTTCTTTATTTTAACCCTTTGATTGCCGTGTAGGTCACCGGTGCCCTACGTGGCCCATTGAAGTGATTACGAGAATTTTTGTTACTAAGCGCGCCTGGATTGCTTAACTTTGCCTGTTTTAGATTTATTAGGGATAGATTCATTCTCAGTATCTTCAGATTCGTCTTTCCCAGAGTCTAGTAGATATTCCGGCGCCTTAGTAACAGAAGTCGACACTTTAGTTCGCCACGCAGGGCACCAGTGACCTACATGGCAGTCAAAGGGTTAAATTACTTGCACAGATAGAAAGCTAACCGGGCTTAATAGATGCCCTAATATGCAGGTTCGCTTTTCGATAGTGAGACTATTTACATTGGTGCAAACCAGCAGAGGGAATAGCGGTTCGTAATATTACATGGTTGTCGTTGTAACGTAAACGATATTGCGTGTTTTAGTTGAATTACGGAAGGTCAAAGGGTTTTAGGAATTGCATTGCGATTTGGAGGCCGGTCAGTCCAATGTATATTAGATTTTTCGACTTCGTATAGAAAGATTGATGGCGGTTGTGTAGGACGTATACTTCTGTTCCATTTTTCATTGTATGTTTTTGAAGTGAAAACTTCTTTAGAATCGTTGTGATTTCAACCCGGATGCAACGGAAAAAACGACAGGTAAGAGACACAAATACAAAAATGTGTAGGATGAAGGCAGCAAAGAATGAGACAGAAATATACCTACTATTTAATACAGCGCCATCTGTGAGATTTTTTAATACTAACATGTGTATGAAAGCTCTTGTAGTGAATTTTAATTTAGGATTATACGTGAAATTAAAATATCAATTCACAGAGGGCGCTACCTTACAATTATTTATTAATGACAAAATTTTACATATACTTAAGACGTTTAGGATAATTGTATTTTAATTTTGGAAGGTTTCACTTCTACCACATGTGAATTGCACACACACATTTTGTTTTTTTTTTTTAATGCATGTTGCCATATCCAATAATATAAGTCGAAATTCAAAATTCGTATACCACACGATAGCTAGTGACCATCTCGCGGTTTGTCTAAAAACGTGACATTACGTTTGTGAACGCTTAGAAACCGTTTTCCGACATTACACCCAAAACGATTGTCGAGTGAAAGTCGAAGCGTTTTATGCATACGTTCACGGAAGTTGTTGCATAACTTTTTAATATCAATTTTTTTTTTCTTTTCTTGAATAATACGACACGTAATAGATACAATTAATATTGTAGTCATAAAACAAGTTCCATTGAACTGTCTCAAAATGTCACGCATTCAAAATCCGCCATTATTTTTTGGAATTCACTGTTATGTACGACGAACTATATTAAGTACTAGAATTAAGTTTAGTCATGTAAAAAAATAATACTACGTGTTAATATTTTTTTTAAATAAGAATTGGGATGAAATAGATTTAAAAAAAAGGTGATTTTTATTTCCGCTGAAATTTTAGTCAATATGTAAAGCTTAAAAAATTAATTAGTTTTATACAAAATCAATATTCAGAAAGTGTATTTTTGAAGATGACGATATTTTAATTGAACGTAGAAGTGTTTTATAACCGTTATTAGTGTGTACAGTACGCACGTATCACGGAATTAAAATAAATGATAAAACCCACACTAGCCAAACATGTTGAAAACAAGTTATTTACAAAATCAAGGGCTTGCTCAAGTTATTTCGTCACCTAGGGCTGCCATGAAATAATTATCTCTTGTATGTGTCGTGAAGTGTGTTCACGAGAGCTCACGCTTTTCGAATTTGTAATGGTCACTGTGAAGTCGTTAAAGTGGCGTGTTCAAAGACTCCTTAGAGACTGCTTCATGTCAAATGCTGGTGGTAATTATTATATTGCGAAGTTATGTTATTATTTTTTTAGATAAAGGAGAAAGTCCATCGATGCTATTCTTAAAGTGACGTTAACCTGTACGCACCTATTTCTTAAACAATCACTCAAACATAAATTTCATTTTCGGAAAAATGGTCAATTTTTTTTTTCATAGCCTCATTAGGTGTTTTTATTAATATTAGCCGATTAGTACATGTGCTTCGGTTTTCTACTGAAAACTGCTTTTATTCAAAACAGCGGAAAAAACAAAACGACACTAAAAACAACTCGAGATTAAATGATAAAAGTTACTTTAGTTATTACCTGATTAGCTTAATTAAAAAGAGTGATGCAGGAATTTTCTGCAAACACATTAGTAATTTGAGTGCGATTAATTCGAGCAAAACGATGTTTTTAATCCTTCTTCCTTTCTTCAAAGTGCAAATAAAGCGCATTTCGTATTACGATAAAATGAAAATATTAGATCGAAACTAAAAACTGAAAATCAGAAAATAATTATTCAAACGTTTTCTTTGTCAAGAGTTAGATGGATGCACATTAAAGTAATAGCCTAGTTGAACTGAACGTGATTTGGAACCTGAATTAGCTTAATTCAGTCACCGCTAGAAGCGATCCAATTGTTTAAAGGACCAACGTTGTTTGGTAGCAAAATAGAGTAGTAGTAATAATTTTAATACTGTTACAAGCCGCTTTTCTCGAATTAATGTAGAAAAAATATATATCCCTTGGGAGTATTATTCCTCGGATGAAAGTTATTCCGTATGCTTTTGCGTACAAAGTGTATGCATAATTTCATACTGACCGGTGGTTCAGTTGTTGAGACGTGAAAGCTTAACATAACGAAACCAGCAACCTAACTCATTTTTATATTTAAATATATTGTTATATTATAGGATACCAGCAATTAACTGCGGCTTCGCCCGTGTTGTCTAGAAAAAAAATTCAGTGCATTTTCGAAATAAGAGTTTTTTTTTTCGGGATTAAAGTTAGCCTATATCATTTTCCTGACCTAATTAATAATAACCTAAATAAGATCATGTCACTCTATTACTTCGTTCCGACACGATAGGAGGGGCAAACAAAAACACTCACATTTTAAATATTTGTATGGATATGTGATGACATTGTCTATAGTTTCTGTCATGTAAAATAACAAATGTTGTAAATTTTAGTGTGAACGCGCTAACAATCCCGGGCGTAATTTCGTCAGACGCTGATTCAAATGAGGAAATATAAGTTATCTAATTATTGAGACGCAAGCTGTTATCGAATGCTTCGTAATAGTGTTTTGAGGGGTTTCGTACTCTGAGCATTCGATAATGTGATGCAAAAGTATTATTATTGTTTATTAAATAATTCGATTGTGAACGGAATCGATTTTTTCAATGAGTATCGAACTAAGAAATGGTGGAATCTGAAATTGAGTAATGAATTTATTGTGTATTTTATTTTTATTTATGTATTTTCTGTAATAAACTAGTTTATTTAATTAATACGTACCTAGAAAGTTCGTGATTTCTCTAGATTTCAACTAAAAATGAATTATTACTTAAAACAGAAGAGCCAAACAGGTCGTGAATACGCCGACCATATTAATTGTTAATTAAAAACAAGAAAAAAATATATACTTTACAAAATAAATGTATAGCAAAGTTTATAATAATAAGCTAGTTTTTAATGACATAACATTTTGGGTATTTTTTTTAATATGACCCATTTATGGAAAATCGATGTGGCCGCGCGATTTATGAATGATGTGGTACGTATTGAGGCACACAGTCATTGAAAAATGAATCAATATTAGGGAGGAGAAAAAAAAATTGCTACTACGACCATTGGTTATTGACGACGTTATAAACTTTTGATATCTGTTTTTCAATTTCTCTCGAGCATCGAAAGTAGATATGGTATTTTAAAATTTATTGTAATCAAAAATATTCGGTGAATAGCTATGTAATCAAACAGGTTGAGTATAGCATACGATTTCGGTTTTTTTTCCTATCCTATAATGTCTTAAGTAACTACACGAAGTACGGGTGTAACCCTTAACATCTCTCGCCAAACCCGTTACCGGGGTTTCTATTCCATAAGATAGAAACGTTGTAATAAACAAAATCTAATACCACCAATCCTAAAATAAACATAAGTGAAATAGCCATCAGGTTAAAGCAGTTACAACACTTTTAATGGGTAAATACAAACATCATTATAAATGGTGGAAATTTACGAAAGTTTGTGATAATAATCTATTCTACTAAGTTAGAGAGATGCATCGGACCTACAGTTGTTTACATAACGTCTTTATATCTATGTAGTATCTCTCGCGCGACGACGAACAAGATTACTCACACATTCACATATTCCCTTTGAAAAGTTGATGCAATAATTATTTTTAATGAATGAATTTTAACTTTTCCAGGTGCCTGCTTTCGCGAGATTTTGTGAGGCTCGGCAAGTGGTTTGTTCAACCTTACGATGGTGACGAAGAAGATGTTGGAAAAAGGTAATTTTCATACAAATATTTTCATAAAACGAGTAAGGTAACCTACCTCATAATTACCATAGTGTAGAGACGCTGTACTCTTACGTATTAGTATTCAGTTCAATTGTAATAAGAACTGTCTTATTCAAACCAGAATAATAAAGTCGCAGCTGCAGATATAGGCGGGATAGGTACCATAATATGCCATTACATATTACTCGAAGGTAGTTAGTTGTAAATTTGTCTAAAGTTGCATAACTTGTTTTTTTTTTGTTCCAATCAAATAAAACAACATCCAACAGTTCACAGTAAAAGTAAATTTATTTGAGTGTTCATTTTAATTTTTTATTTCGTGGCCCTTTGTACCATAACGGCGGGTACCGCGCGTTCGTACGATTAGATAGTGAAAGTGAGCATTGTAACGGAAGAAAGATTTGGGGCCAGCTCTGTCAGTGGGCCGGCGCCGGATCGCGGCCGCGGCGACGCGGAGCGCTCTTCCAACATTAAACGGAAGAATTCTGTGTTGAGCTACGTTGAGACATTAGGGCTCGACTTCGTTCCTCTTCTAACATATCTACATATCACTAGTACTGTACTGTATGATCATATGATTCATTACTAAAGCAAATTATCTAGTCAGTGAGAGTATTGTTGGTTTCAAGTCAATTTACAATAAACTCTCCTTCTTCTTTGTCTCCTTATCCTTATCCCACTAGGTGGGGTCGGCACAGCGATTTTTCTATTCCATTCTCTTCTATCAGCCGTCATCTCAACACTCACTCCTCTCTCTCATATCGTCATTCACACACTCCATCCATGTCTTCCTTGGTTGACCTCATCCTCTCTACCTTGCACTACCATATCCATACATCTCCTAGTCACATGCATCTTCTCTCTACGCATCACATGTCCATACCACGCTAACCGTCCGCTCTTTAATTTGTCAATCACCGTGGCTACTTTCACACTTCCTCTGATATATTCTTTCTTTATCTTGTTCATTCTTATCACTCCACACATTCATCTCAACATTCGCATCTCTGCCGCATGCATTTACAATAAACTGTATAATGAAATAATACATGTCCGGAATTTACACCCGTTAGAAGTGAATTTAGAAGTAGTCAATATGTGTATATTATGTTTGACTAGTCTAGTTACAAATTACGACGTTGCTAAATAATAATAATAATAATAATAATTGCATTTATTTACTCTACAATACAAATACAAATAAATTTTCAATTAATATGAAATAAAAATTCTAATTCTAAACAATATTACAACATATTATACTAACACAGTGGATACAAAAAGGCCGCGGCTCAGCTTTGTTATAGCTGAAACTATCGCTGTTATTCTGCCGCTGCCTGTAATCTTAATCTGTAAACTTAAATCTTATAATACTTAAATTTAAAATTATGTGGCACAAACTACTTGCTGTCGTTTCGAAAATTGTAATCTAGTATTTAAAGTGACGTATAAATTTGTTCTGGCACAGTCCGTGGCACCTGTCATTCTCTTTCGCGTTCTTCCTGCACGGCGAGAGCACGGTGTGCGCGTCCGTGGACGTGCGCCAGCACCCGCCGGTCAGGACGCTCACCCCCAAGCGACTCGCCAAGCTGAACTCGCCCGACAACCAGGCCGACGCTAAAGGTGAGATAGCTCCTTCTCCATCAATCGGAGTACGTGCTCAACGGTACGTGCTTTCGGTAGGCAGCGGCTTGGCTCTGCCCCTGGGATTGCTGACGTCCATGAGCGACGGTAAACACTCACCAACAGGTGGGCCGTATGCTCGTCTACCTATACGGCAGTAAAAAGAAACAAAAAAATCATGGTCTGTCTACTGCGTGTTTTTTTTTATTGCTTAGATGGGTGGCCGAGCTCACAGCCCACCTGGTGTTAAGAGGTTACTGGAGCCCATATACGTCTATGACGTAAATGCGCCACTCACCTTGAGATATAAGTTTTAAGGTCTCAGTATAGTAACAACGGCTAGCCCACCCTTCAAACCGAAACGCATTACTGCTTCACGGCAGAAATATGCGGGGTGGTGGTACCTACCGCGCGGACTCACAAGAGGTCCTACCACCAGTAATGTGTGATGTATCGTTTACGTAATATTGAGGAGATATTGACGAAAGTTGCAATAACAGGAGTGTTGTGATTACAGTGATCCTCGCTCCGTTCGGGCTGGAGGGCGCGCTGACGGGGCGGCAGTGGGGCGACGGCGACGCGGCCACGGCGCGCCTGCTGGACGCCTGGAGACAGCTCTACCCGCTGGAGCAGGGCTGCGGCGCCGTCGAGGTACTGGCCCCGTGTGCCCGCCTCACGACCTCTACTATATCGTCGCTGTCAAACCCAAAATCTGCTATATGCAAAAACTCTATTTTGAATTAACGAGTAAAAACATTTTTGTATAAAATTTTATATGAAAGTAAATTTTTAAGAACTATATCAAATGAAAGCTATAGATAAATATTAAAGCTATAGACACATATAAATTTTTTTATACGCTAGATATGACTGTGAACTATACAAAAAGGTCAAAAAGTTAAAATCTCAAAAAGTGCACATAGCAGATTTTGGTTTAACAATGACGATATGTTCTCTTAAATGTATATTTAAAATATATACTATTTTATAATTTGATTTCCGTATTTAGTGAGCTGACACCTAGACAGACTGTCTTTAAATATGAATGTACAATTTTGATATAATGTCTAATTTTAAAAACTTGTTTTTTTAAGGCAAGCTGTCAAACTATATCTCTGTTTTAAAAAAAAACGAACGAACTTAACATGATCTTAATACTATTTAATTCGATGTGTAGTTTTACCCCTATTAATAAAATCCAATTTGAAAAGTGTATCCAGTTGAGATACGCCGTTGTGTGACGACAATAGTGACGCGTGCGTGCCCGCAGGTGGTGTGCGGCGGCGCGCGCATGCGCTACCCCGCGCCCTACGCGCTGCTCACCGACGTGGCGCGGCCCCCCGCCGACGTGCCGCACCCCCCGCCCGCCGCGCGCGCCGCGCTCGCACTCACCGCGCCCGCGCCGCACCAGGTACCCCGCCCCCCAACACCCCTCCCACCCAGGGAAGCTGGAAACTAACCCTCCCTTTTATATAGGGTCGATTAGAGATCGCTTCCGATATTATATAGAAGTTACTAATCATGTGAATTATTTTGAGTCAGTAATAAAACACACCGGAGTCTTCTTACAACCCAACAATTGTTGTGATTACTAAAATTTACTTTATCATATCATATATAAACCTAATCTCTTGAACAATGATTCATTCAACAAACAATGACAACTGATTCGTAAGAATGATCTCTGATTCTATTTTTTCTCAAATTAAGATTTATTACGTAAAAAATGAGGCCTTTATTACAAAAACAAATTTAGATTAAAATTACCGTTTATTTGTTACTATTGCAATTATGGCCTCAAATAAAATTAAAATGTCATGGTAATTTCTCATAAATATATTATTATGTGTAATTTGGTATCTACTTGTTTATTTGGCCACACATAATACATAGCCTAGGCGGTAATTTCTGACGTAGGAAAATTAATACCCACTGACCGTGTAAAGCGAAACTCATAGGAATTTGCTCCAAGAGAGAGCCTATTAGTTTGAATCTGCCAATTAGAATCGCTAAAGCGATGCAGTATCGAGTGGTGTCCCAGAGCTCACCTAGCGCTAACCCTGCGGTGGTGTCGGTCCCCAGACGCTGGAGGCGTGCTACGCGGACCCCGCGGGGGACAAGAACGACGACTTCGTGGACCCCTCCCGCAAGGCGCCCTGCACCTGCACCAAGTGAGTGCACACAACATCTTGCCTCTTACTGTCTTGCAATTTTATTATTATGCCTCTTAATTGTTTCAGCATACAGTTGCTTTTCGAGTGTGCTTGATAATTTATTTTGAAGGAAATTTGAGTAACTAATTAATATAGAGCACTCTCCAAAAACAACTTTATGTGAATGATCTGAGTAGATAGGTTGTCATAAGTATAATATTATTATATATGTTAGTAAGTAGTAGCTGTATGAGAAATGTGTGTTTATTGCATCCAATATTATGTATCAAATATATTTAATTTTTGACTTGCATATAAATAGCGTTGAATGCAGTCGCGGCGGGTACAAAATGTTACGTGCCGCGTCTCGTGCCGTAACGTTTAGTGCCGGGCCGCGCCGCTGTAGGGGTAGTCGCTGCGTAGATATGATAGGTAGATGTTATGTTCACGTTGTTATGATTGCGTTTAGAGGCGAGTACGGGCTTGTATAGACACGCCGACGTGTCTGCAGATACATGAGCTTGTTTGGTAACCGACCCCCCCTCCGAAGCGAGACACGCGAGAGCCCCCTAACTCTTCGGGTATCGGATTGGAGAGAGACGTACGTCCCGGCGGCAGGGGCGTGTCCCAGTGTAGAGGGGGAGGGGAGGGTGAGTGCGTGAGTGGTACCGGCGGGTTGTTGGTGCAGGTGGCGTCGTCGGAGGCCTCCACGACCTCCGCCCTTCCATCGACGGACGCTCCTCGCTCGCGCCCACACACTCGCGCACCCGTGAGTACCCACACACACACACACACACACACACACCCGCACGCACTCACACGCGCGCGCTTCTGCTGCTTAAAACGAGAAGTGATGACACTAACATTATGTTATATGACAAGTTAACCTAATTGGAATATCAAAAATATATAACCCGACTACGAAAAATGTTATAATATCATATAATCATTATAAATTACTTGTTTGGGCACTTAACCGCTCAGAGCAGAATCATACACATCGAAAATTTTGAGTCTCAAGATGTGAAAAGTGCTTTAAGAGCTGTAAGGTATAGATGAATATACAACCAGCTCTAAACTCAAGAGTCAAACCCATTCATTGGCATGTCGTAGTCGGGTATTCACATAATTGCAGTGCACTTATTAACAAACTTTTAGTATCATTACACTAAAACAAATGAAAGTACCTCATCCATACACATGAGACACAAACCTCACCTCCACACTCACACAGGATAACTTGAGAGGAAGCCACAAATAATGCAATGCTTGTAAAACGTTGCATGCCTTATTTTATTGGCTTATATTGTAATTATGTTTGTATTTGTAGCTTTACATTATTTATATTGCATGTGAATGTGAATTGACTTATAAAACTGCATGTTTATGTGTCGTTACTGTTTCTGTAATTAAAAAAAAACAATATGTTAACCATGTATTGTTTATGACAACACCCGGCATAATTAGTACTGAAGCCACTGTTTTATGGAGTGACACACGTTTTCTGTTACATCAGCGGTGACCACAATTCGTTGTTCATTTATGATGCGTTTTACACTGTATCACTGCAGATATATCCCAATATTAAATATCTTAAACTAGTAGTATATATTTACATCTCGCATACAAGATCTATTGATTAATTTAATGTCTGTGACTTGTGTGGACAACTGAGGATGCTCATAATGGAGCAATGACCCAGTGATACAGTGTAATCTCTCATGCAGTCGATTCATTATAACATCTACCTCTCATCTCTGGTGTCATGAAATCATGTGGGATAATGAGAATTATAAAATTCTTGTTAAAGTTGTCATTAAATTCATATGAATACTAAGATTACAGTAATCATGAATAAAGTCTCTTAACAAACAAAAGCATTTCATTCAATTATTTATTCGTTTGTGTTCAACACCACTTGTTGCTAGACTCGGTTGGACCGTAAATTTGTTTTAATATTATTGGCGTCATATTAAAACAAAGTTGAGCTGACGCACACAAGGAATATTTTGGTTTAATGCAAATAAACACCAATATGAGTCGATCGACTCGAGTTCAGTCGCGTGCGTCAGCGTACGGTCCCGTCGAGCCCTGCCTGCGCCAGTGTAACGAGAGCCGTGTTGTTGTCGCGCAGGGGAGTGTGTGGGGGGTCGGGGTCGCCTGGTTCGTGCTCCGGCTCGCCGCCCGCCGCGCCGCCCTCTGCCTCGCCGCACCCGCACCACGCCGCGCTGCCCGCCCACCAGGTAACTACGACCACCCTTCAGTCACTAGAACTTACCTTTACGATATTTATTAGCCTTATAACTACAATTAAAAAAAAATGAGCCATCGAATGTCATGTTTCACACCGCGCTGGCTAACAGCAGTGCTCCCCGCAGACCTCCGGGTTGGCCTCCACGACGCTGCACACGCCGGCGCCCACCCCCGACCCGCTGGCACCCCCCACCCCCGCGCCTTCGTGTCTGCCGCCCTCCAAGCACAACCAGGTATGTCGGGATATTGGTTTAATTTTAACTAAAACTAATAAAAAATTCAAACCATCTATTTTTATTGAGATTTTTTAAACCGGTAATTATTAATTTAGATGCTATCGAGCAACAAGCGTGACTTCATTATATTAAAACGCAGTAAAGATTGACTTTTGACTTACTTTTATTCAAGTAAGTGACATAGATACAGTATAATCATAGCCAATAGAAGAGTGGCGCTAGTTGTATTTCAATGTCATTTATAGCAATATTTTAACACATTATACATTGAAACATGTTTGTATTGAGTCATATATTGTTGTGGTGTGGCAGGGCGAGTCGGGCGCGTGCCCCGAGCTGCGGCGGCGGCCCGTGCTGCCGCGCGCCGAGCGCCGCCCCGACCCGCTGGAGGACGAGCACTCGCTGCACATGCTGTACGACTACACCACCGTGCACGCCTGGTCAGTCTCGCACCCCCCCCATCTGTACTAGAAACAGCTGTTACTTAACACATTGACTGCCCTACGCGGCGCATTGAAGTAATTGTGTCGATTTCTGTTACTAAGCGCCTGGATTACCTAACTTCGCCTTCTTTTATATCTAATGTGTGCTATAGTCTTTTAGGTTACTTAGAAATAAATTCATTCTCAGTATCTTCAGATTCATCTATCCCAGAATCTACTAGAAATTCTGGCACGTTAGTAAAAGATCAAAGAGAGAAATTGACATAATTACTTCAGTGTGCCACGTAGGTCACCAGTGACCTACGTGGCAGTCAACATGTTAAGTCAATTTCGTTATTCTATAATTCCCAGTAAACGACTAGTTTTAAAAAACACATGTAATTAATGCATAAAAATCATTTTGCAAACATGACTAGATTCCGGCTCCACTACAGTACGAAATAGATGGATAACTTTAACACAGCTTAATTCTTTTTCTAATTTTACATTTTTAGGAATTTCATTCTTTGATTCTGAAACAAACAAAATATATCGTGCAGGCTGGAGCACCCCGTGAAACGCTTCAAGAGCGAGGAAGGGCGGTTCCGCGAGGAGCTGGCGCTGGGCCCCGCGCCCGCCGCCGACCTGTACGCCGGCCACCAGCACACCACGCCCGACCTGCTGCCCGACGTCAAGCGGGAGCGCCAGCAGGTACACCACCACCACCACCGCCACGCGCTATAGACGTTGTCAATGTTTAGTTTGCTACAGTGCGTCCCTGTGCCGCAGGACGATGCCAAGGAGTACAAGAACCTGTTCACGTCGGACGGGCTCTGCCCCACTTTCAAGGACCTGGAGCAAATATTCGACAACTCGGACGACGCGGCCAGCGGCGATGAGACGGTAAGACTTGTGAGTGTGCACCCTTCTCTATTTATATTTATTTAAGTGTTTGTCTGTTTATTTTGATTTTAATGATTGCTTATTCCTTAAACAACTTGTGTTTGGAATGGTTAAAGTTAAATATTAATCAAAGAACCGGTCGTGAAGGTCACGTAGAGTCGGTCGTTCGTTGAGGTGTGCGTGTGTGTGCCCGCAGATGTCCACGGCCCTGGACAAGTGCGAGGAGGAGAGCAAGCGGTGCGTGGGGCGGTGCGTGCGCGCCGAGGAGCTCAGCAAGATGTTCCCCACGCCGCCCTCCATGGAGGCGCACGCGCAGCCCTCGCCCGGGTTCAGCCTGCCCGACGACGCGCCGCCCCGGGACGACCCGCCGCCCGACACCGCCATCGAGGTGCGCGACCACGCGACACAAACTATCCACTAAAATAAACTCGCCCAAAAAATTATCTATATTTCGTTTTGATAATATCAAACTTAGGATACCTTTGCTTTCACCGTTGGGATCGCTCGCACGTTTGCGGCAGGTCCATGAAGTTCCACAACACCGAGCGAACAAACATAATAATATGAGAGCTTGATTACAAACGCGTTGTCGTAATTGTTTGTATGAGTGGTGAAAAGGTACCCTGTTGTGAAGTACGGCATTCCGCTCCGTCCAAATATAGCTACCTCTTATTCAACATCTTAATTCGTCGACCTTGTCTCAAGTACTAATGGTGTTTGAACCACCAAAAAACGTAGGATATTTTTTGCCGCTAGTCTATAATAAATGGCTAGTCACTGTAGCGACGGTGTCAATGAGGCTTCAACCTTACGTCTCAAGATGAGCCTGTATTGTCGTTGCGAGTGACTGAGGTGGTGTCGCGCCCACAGGACTGGTCGTTCGTGTTCAAGCCGCCCACCGTGTACAAGTACGTGGGCTCGTCCAAGTACGCGGCGCTGAGCACGCTGCCCAGCCAGCTGCTGCCGCCCGTGGCGCTGCCGCCGCACGCCGTGTACCGCCCGCGCCCGCGCCGCGACCCCGAGCCCGCCGCCGCCGCCGCCGCCGCCGCCGCCGACACAGGTACCGACCAGCGCCAGACTAGAGATCACTCCTTTATAATATTTACATTGTCCATTGAGGGAAATCAGTGTTTAATGTGCGTGATTTTTCATAAATCTTCTTGTAGTTCTCTTTTTTTTTTTAGTACAGTGCCAAGATATTATATTATATAATTTACCATTCATTCATCCATAATTCAACTAATAATTTTAAAAAAACGTGTGGCACTCGGGAACTTCCGCGGTAAAGCTATTGCATAGGATTTTTTATCAACTTATGCAATTATAATTAGACAATGATAATTTAATAATAAAACAAGACCACGCTATATTAAACATTAATTAAAGCAAAACCTTAACTGTCCCCTTCACACTCATAAGCTAGACCGCGCGAGAGAGAGATGGGCAGACTTTTCACGATGCGCATGCAGTGTGACGTCACGCCACGCGCTTATTCACAAACACTACACAAGCGCAACATGTGAATGTGTTGAACGCGAGCTACATGGTAGGCGGAGTAGGGGTGTAAGGTTTTTTCGTTACGGAATTTCATGATTACAGTAAACCGAGCTCAAGGCCCGCGATAAAAGCTATGCAATAGCTTAAAATCCATTTATTTTCAATGTCGTCCTTAAGAAAATCATTTATGTGATAATAATTTTCACTAATAATGATAACCAACCATATTTCATGTTCTCGACATTCTGGTTGTCCCGGATTCAGTAAAAGCAACAAATTATTGTAATTCAGGAGTAAAGCGGTCTGCGTCTCCGGCGAGCGAGTCCCGGCCGGCCGTCGCATGCGGCGCGGGGGGCGCGGGCCGGGGCGCCGCCCGATCGTGCCGCCCTGCCGTCCCGCCCGCGCTGACCGCCGTGCCCGCCCTGCCTGCCTCACCCGCCCTGCCGGCCTGTCCGCTGCTGGTCAACGTACTGCTCGCTGACACCGTACTCAACGTCTTCCGGGATCATAACTTCGATAGTTGCACGGTCTGCGTCTGCAACGAAGGGACTAAGGTTCGTAATATCGGACTTACAAACAAATTTATAAAAAAACAGTTCTTGTTTTTGTTACAATCGTTTTAATATCGCATCATACATTAAATTTGAAATAATTTTTCAATGTATCGAAATCTAGTAAGTACTTTAATGAGAGGCCAATCGTTCCTACTGTATAAATATTGCAATGATTTTTCCATGAATGAAGAACAAAATCTGTTGGCGCCGACCACAAAGTTGTTTCTTTAAAACAGATTCTGAGTCGAAGATCCACTGTTAACGATGCCACGAGTGCTTAAGCGTTCCGGGCCCGCCCGCCGCGCTCGAGTTCGGAACCGGATGATCAGTATTATGTTTGACCATTACAGGTCATAGGTAACATCAGGGGAGCAGACGCGGCGACCTACCTGTCCGAGGGCGGAGAGGGGAGCGGCGAGGAGCCCGCCAGCTGCACGTGCGGGTTCAGCGCCATCGTCAACCGGCGACTCGCGCATCGATCCGGACTCTTCTATGAGGTAACTTATATTGGTCAAATGATACATATCTGAATAATTCTAGCGACATATTGTATAGGAATTGCTACGAATACCGTGGACTGCCATGAGAACAAACGAGTTCATTCTAAGACAACTAAACATCTGAAAATGGCTCTCTTTCATCTGTCGGGAACGTGTTCTTCGGACACATCATGCGGTCTCCCAGACATGAATTAGAGAAGCTCATAATTACGGGACGCATAGAGGGCAAGCGCGCCGTGGGCAGAACACCAGCTAGATGATCAGATCTAGCAAGAGAAACACTTGGTGGTAGTCTGTACCGTGCGGTCCATGCCACCTATGATCGAATACAGTGGAAAAACGTCACATGTGGTTGCGATCCTCATTAATGAGGGAACGATATAGAAGTAAGTATTGTATAGTAGTGAAATATCGGTAACATTTTTAGTAAATGAAAGTTGTTTAACGCGTACACAGGACGAGATGGAGATCACCGGGTGTGCGGAGACCGTGAGCAGCGCGGGCGGGGCGCGGTTGGGCGACGTGACGGGCGCGGTGCTGGCCCAGCTCGGCAGCGTGCACGCCGCGCCCACCGCCCTGGCGCGCGCCGCCCGCACCGCCGCCGCCGCGCACCACCCGCACGAGCATCTGCGACTCAACCTGCTCGAGTCAGTACCGTGACCACATTCTTATTTATTTATTAGATATGTAGACGACGAGCCCACAGCCCCCCTAATATTAAGTAGTGACTGGAGCCCATAGACATCTACAATTTAAATGCCGCCGTAAAAGGTGGGTGGGTACCTTGAGATATGAGTTTAAGGTATCAGTATAGTTACAACGGCTGCCCCACCCTTCAAACCAAAACGCATTACTGCTTCACGACAGAAACAGGCAGGATGGTGGTACCTACCCATGCGGACTCACAAAAAGTCCTATCACTAGTAATTACGCAAGTTATAATTTTGCGGGTTTGATTTTTATTACACGATATTATTTCTTCACCGTGGCAGTTAATTGTAAACATTTGTTAAGNTCAGTATAGTTACAACGGCTGCCCCACCCTTCAAACCAAAACGCATTACTGCTTCACGACAGAAACAGGCAGGATGGTGGTACCTACCCATGCGGACTCACAAAAAGTCCTATCACTAGTAATTACGCAAGTTATAATTTTGCGGGTTTGATTTTTATTACACGATATTATTTCTTCACCGTGGCAGTTAATTGTAAACATTTGTTAAGTACACTACATATACAAATTATTATAATCATTTTATTGTACGCACGTACAAATTTATATTGCGGCGTAATTGCGGTTCACTTACATAATTATATAAATACAAAATTCTTAATGTTGAAATATATAAATTGTTATACACGCGCAAAACAAAAGAGTGTACAGAGTGTACTGATGATAATTAACTTATCCTTTAAGGCTTCGTCAAACAGAACGCGTAATTAGCGCGCGTCAGAGCGCTACGCTATTATACCGGCGTATTATACATAGCGCGGCGTTTGTTTAGCGCTCTGACGCGCGCTAAGTACGCGTTCTGTTTGACGAAGCCTTAACGTAACATTGTGGTTGTTTTTTGGTAGAGCCGAAACCTGCGGCCAACCGTACGCCACCTTCCTTTAGTTAATGTTTATCTTCATTACTAGAACATTAAAACATTCCAGGTACTCTGATGGAGGAGCTGCTGCGGCGAAAGCGTTACGAGCGGCGGGCGGAGCCTACGCCGGCGCCGGTCCCCCGTGCAGCAACGCCCCCGTCGGTGGCTCCATTAATGAAAGTGCCCCCAGCGCCGTGCACCGCTGGCCCTTCATCGGAGCGCGGGCGCCTCGCTCCTCCAGGGACGTCGTGAGGTACACTGCACTGTAATCGTTTTAGCGATAGAACATCCAACAAGGCGACAGTCGTGACTCAGAGCATCGTGAACGTATTTTCACAGATTGATGCGACGACTCCGGCCTTTGCTCCAGGATGCGATCCAGAAGCGATGTTGTGGAGCGCGCATGTGGGACGGGGTCACGGGGCCGCTGACCTGGCGCCAGTTCCACCGCCTGGCGGGCCGGAGGAACGAGGACCTGTGCGAGCCCCAGCCGGTCCCGTCGCTGCTCGTCGGACACGACCGCGACTGGATCTCGCTCAGTCCGTACGCCCTGCGCCACTGGGAGCGCCTCAGTCTCGAACCTTACGCCTACTCTCGCGACGTCGCCTACGTGGTGGTGGCCGCCGACTGCGACGCACTCGCGGACCCTCTCCGGGCCTTCTTCCGCGAGCTATCCACGGCGTACGAGGCATGTCGTCTCGGCAGGCACCGGCCCGTGACCCGCCTGGCCCGGGACGGCCTGGTGCGGACGGGAGCGGCGCGGTCCGGCGAGACGGACGAGTGGGCGGGCCCCCTACCGGCCGGCCGCCTCGGGCGCTACTTGCGGGCCTACAGCGAGGCGCTGCGGACCGCTCTGGTCCCGCAGCTCGCGGCCCTCAACCTGGACCGGACTCTGCTGGAGGGCGAGCGGTCCGACTCAATGCGGCCGCCCGCCACCCCCGAGCGTCCTTCTTCACCCACCGATCACGAGGCGGAGCCCGCGCCCGCTCCGCCGCCCCCTGCCGCTCCGGATGACGACGAGGCCGGTCCGCCCGCCCTCGTCCTTTACATCGTGGAACCCCCTGCCGCCACCGCCCACCGAGCCTCCGCGCTTCACGCCCTGCTGAGACTCGCCGCTAACACATACAACCATCTCCATCACCATAACCCTCTCATTAAGGTAAGTTTGAGAAAATTTAAACACTGAACATTTGATAATTTCCTAAACATATAGTCACACGAAAAATAATCTTGGCATGCCGAGACTCTTTGTAGAACACAATTTACCATTTGTTCTGATTGATAGTGTATTTGTCAGATAATATCGTTGGAGAGTGTGAGCGAGCAGTGGAGCGGCGCCGGCGTGGGCGCGGGGGCGCGGGCCCTCGCCTTCACGGTGTACAGCGGCGCGCGCCGGCTGCTGCACCACCACGCCAACGGCAAGTCCTTGACCGGGTTCGGAACGGCCGCCGCCGCTAACCTCTTCCTGCAAGCCAAGGACGACAAGAACCGCGCGCCCTACCGACTGTACTCCCCCGCGTGGGTGCTGGCTGCGCCCCGAGCCCTGCGCGAAGTGGCCGAGACCTGGGGCCAAGGCGGGACCGCTGACGCCGTCCTCTTCGTGTCGTACTGCCTCTCGCACGACCAGCGCTGGTTGTTGGCGGCCGCCACCGACTCCCGCGGAGAACTGCTCGACACCATCGCGATCAACATACACGTACCTCACAGGTAATTAGACCCTCGTCACCGAGCTTTGTTCAAATATGTCGAAACGCTTTATGCGCAAAATATTTAACAATAATGAACACTGGCCATAGCTTTAGATTCCTCATATGCTTATAGATCGAGGCGGAGACGGAGCGGCACGGCGAGGCGGCTCGGACTCACCAAGCTCATGGACTTCACGCTGGGCGTCATGAGCCAGGCCGCGCAACCCTGGAGACTCGTCATTGGACGAGTCGGTCGCATTGGACACGGCGAACTCAAAGGTGAAGTACATACTCCACTGTTTCAAATAAAATTTGTCGTTAAGTATTCACACAGTGGTCAGTAATTTCGTAGTGCTGATCCAAATTCGTTGCCCGACCCGAGCCAGAATATTTGTAAAAGTTATTTTTCACTCGGGGCGCGGATGTGCGCTATCGGTGCTCGTACATGGGGACAAATCTAGCATACACACTGAATGTCAAATGATTAACTTTCACTTTAAACATTTTCTTCTCAATGATCTATGAAAATGACGTTTCAAGCGAACAGACTCGATTTTCGATTTCAGGCTGGAGTTGGTTGTTATCGCGAAAGAACTTGGATCAAGTGTCGACTACGCTGAAAGACCTGTGCGGCAGCTGCGGCTCGGGGGCTCCGTGCGTGCTGTCGGCCTGCCTGGTGTCCACCGAGCCCGACTCGTGCCTGCGCCTCATGGCCGACCGCTTCACGCCCGACGAACGCTTCTCCCAGGCCTCCATCCAGTCGCACCTGCACACGCCGCGCGACGTCTCCGCCACGCACATCCTTGTGTTTCCCACCTCGGCCACCACGCAGTCGACTCCGATGACCTTCGAGCAGCCCCTCGCGAACGGCGAGGACGGCGACATGATGCTGCTCGACATCAACGACGAGGACGGGGAGCACATCGACGAGCTGCTCAACTGCGACATGTTCAACAACATGTGGGCGCCCGGCAGCCCGCGCCGCGCCGACGACGACGCCGCCAGCCCCACGCCGCACCTCGCGCAGCAGCGCCTGCGGGACGACGGCCGCGAGGAGCGCGTGGGCACCGTGCTGCAGCAGCCGCTCGCGCTCGGCTACACCGTGTCCACGGCGCCGCTGGCCGGCATGCCCGCCTGGTGGTGGGCGAGCTGCGCGCACCTGCGGGACGCCTGCCCCGCCTTCCTCAAGACCGCGCTGCACCTGCACTCGGTGCACGGCGCCGACGACTACGCGGCCTTCACCCAGCGCCGCGACCAGCCCGCCCACCCGCTGGACTCGCAGACCACCACGGACGTGCTGCGGTACGTGCTGGAGGGCTACAACGCGCTGTCGTGGCTGGCGCTGGACACGAGCACGCACGACCGCCTGTCCTGTCTGCCGCTGCACGTGCAGGTGCTCATGCAGCTGTACCACGCGGCGGCCGCGCTGGGCTGAGCGACCCCCGCGCTCTTGTTCATGGTTACCATTAGGGCCTTCGGTCGTTGTTGGGCCGTGTTGTATTCAATTAGTTTGATGATAGTGAAAATTAGGTCGTTACGTGAGATTGAATGTTTCGGTGTGTTGTCTTAAAAATATATATATTTTTTCAATGTGAACACTTAATGTAAAGTAGATAAAATAATCAGAAAATAGCGTCCTGAAAATTTGTGATGAACTTCATTGTACTGACTCACCCTGCACTATGAATTAATTTAATAAATTTTTTCACAATACTCACGATAACAGATGATTGACCGTCCTAACGGTTAAATTATGTGAAGTTCCGATCGAGCAGTATTAAAATAATTATCAATTATCGGGACCCAATATCCTGTTTAAGCATTTTCTGGTCATAGAATTATCACAAATTTTGGAGGATGCATACATAGATTATTAAAAAGAAATTGACAACTACAATTACCCCGATTGAAAGTTCAATCGATCAACATTTTCAAAACTATCGAACATCAAAGATATACATTTTACATTAATGATGAAAATCCATGTTTTTGATGCAGAGGTTACATATACTTTGGTTGAACGGGAACGACGTTTACTTTATTTTGTGATATTTTTCCTACATGAATTTAATAAATGGATTTTAATGTATAATGAGTAGTAAAGCTATACAAGTTTTTGGAAAAAATATTTCATTTCGATTTATTATTATGAAAATTGAAACCATCGTCGTAATGTTAGGGAAAATTAATCGATGAAATATTTAACTTGTTAATTATCTAACTGTATGTATTATATTATATATAAGAAGAAGTATTAAAACAGTTTTATAATGAATTTTGTACCAAGGAAATATTACAGAAGGCCAGTTATTTATAATCATGATTAAGACATTGAAATGAAAATCGTCTGGTTTCGAATAATGCACCAACTACGCGAATGAAACGAGCCGTGTGCTCACTAACGAATGAAATGAATTCTAAATATTTGGATCACTTTAGTGTCACTTTGACTCCGCTGAAGTCGGCAACAAACCATAACGCCTTCACAATGTTTGTACGTTATCGAAGTGAATTTATTTCTAATTGAAAATAATCGACAACGCAGTCTTAAATGTACGATTGGATTTCATAATATTATTATTATGGTATTTGACAAATTCCTACCTCACAAAGATGTAGGTCATTGATTGATCAGATTGAATTTGTATTGTCTAAAGTCTAAATTCGTATCCAAAGTGATTAATACTCGGAAGATGTTTTCTCAAGGCAACAATCTTAAAGCGGAACATGTGTTCGAGTGATTCAACAATTCGACTAGTTTTATAAGAACCGGAGGAAACATTGCCAACTGTTATAGATACGAAAATTATTATTTTTTAATTAATCAATTCTTCCTTTTTCTTGTATTAATAAAATAACGTATTTTGGCGTATTCATAAAGAAAAAAGTACGTGACGAGCAAGATTGCTTGCAGCGCTCGATTCATTAGGATTTGTCAAAACCCAACTTCCATTGCAGTCTTGCATTATTCTCACACGACTTCCCGCTCACTTGTTCCACAATACGAACCTCATTTTACGTAGTTTCATTTGCAAGTATATTTTATTTGATTGGCGGCCGTTAAATGTTTGTCGACGTTTTGATTTTTACATTATTCGTTGAATGAATATCGATTGCGTACGGATTCGCAGTCTGGCGCGGCCGATGAGAATCCTTAAATAAATGCAACACCAAATAAGTATTTGTGAAGGCCTTTTTTTCTCTTTGTTATCAAATATGTGAAATTTTATAGCAATAATATTAGGTGATAGATAGATACAGTTTATCAGTTATCCAAACGTGAAATAGTATATTATAAAAGAATATAATTTTTGTCTATATAGGCTTCGTCGACTATTTGATGATCGAGCGACGCGTAAAAACTTTGGCCTTAACTTAAAAAAAAAAATTCTCAAATGTGAACGTCACAATTTATATGGAGGTGTTGTATTCGTTGTTGTGCTGTATGTAAATGTGTATAATGTAATATATTTCGTTATTATATTTAAACCGGTATGCATTACCAAAGGAGTTAGATACTTGTAGTCTTATAGATATTTTTACGAGCGTTTCATAAGCGAACGTCCACACGTCTTGCGAATTCTCATCTACACCTATTTATTTATTGTAAACTTGACACGTTTTTTTTTTTTTTAAATCATTTTGTACGATTTTTTTACGGTTAAATGTGTTTAAATTTTTGGAAACTATTTGTTTAGCTAAATTGAATTTCGTTTTTTTAAAAATAATGAATCCGTATACTATTGCACTCTTTTTATACAAGGGAACAAAGCTCAACGTGTGCTTCACGCATTAACGTCCGCATTGCACACATCCAACTGAAGTAATCAATTCAAATTACATAAGAGCAATGCGGTGAACATATTCTAAACGATTGATAGTTATATAAATTTGTCTTATGATATATAAAAAAATAAAATCTGCCGGTCAATAACTAATTAGTAACACCAATAGTTTATGATTAGATAAATTAATAATAATAATAATAGTTATAAAAGAGCCCCCTAGTTCACGTTTGATTGTAGCATTTGTATTTTAAAAAAAATAGTTGTTCTCGTTTTTATATGAACGGAGCCCAAACTAAACGGCGTGACGTTGTTGTGTTGTCGAATCTCCGACTATTTGTAGTTATATGAAATTTTATATTTTAATATTATATTATTAAAATGTAAGCTTAGGGAGACGTGCTGTGAACATTCTCTGTACAGAAACATTGGGAGGCGTGAAGAAAGCCTTTGCGTGTCACTCTTTAATTCATCTTCAATTCTATACACAATATGTGGACAGCAGATTGGATCGCATGAACAAAACGATGTTGTAAATTATTTTTGTTGCTTAGTACCTAATGTTTACTTGTTTGAGTGGTAGACGCGATCGGTCGACCATAGACAATTTGTACATGTGTTGTGCGAGGAGCGATACATAAATTATTTAAATGTAGAGGCGGCTCGTCCGCGACTTACTGAATTATGCCTAGTTGAATAATGAAATGTTTTAAAATGTGTTACGGCATTTGAAAATATTTAATGATGTTGTATATAGTTTATATTTTTGTTTTTTTTTTTGTGATCGANGTAGACGCGATCGGTCGACCATAGACAATTTGTACATGTGTTGTGCGAGGAGCGATACATAAATTATTTAAATGTAGAGGCGGCTCGTCCGCGACTTACTGAATTATGCCTAGTTGAATAATGAAATGTTTTAAAATGTGTTACGGCATTTGAAAATATTTAATGATGTTGTATATAGTTTATATTTTTGTTTTTTTTTGTGATCGATATTTTGTACAGAATCGGTTTAAATAATCGAATAACCGTTAATAACGTGCCCGCATTGCCGACGTAAAATTTGAGCACGTTTTAAAGAAACCACTCGTAATACTTTGTACAGTTGTTAGCGTGATTCGTAGTTGAATGATTTAATTTTTAAGGATTTTTCGTTTTTGACCTTTTTTGTTATTGTGAATTTGTCTTTTTTAGGGAATTGGGAATGTTCTGTACATAGACCTCACCATTTTGTCATATATTAGTTTGTAAGCGGTGAAATCTGATGATTGATGTGGAAATCAAATTTTCTAAATGAAGCAATCATTAGAAATTCGTAAAACAAATTTAGTGTAATAATTGATATTAATATAACTTTATAAATAACTGAAAATAGGTAATAATTATGAATAAAATATTACATATTTAAAACGCTTGTTTCATTTTATTGAATAATATTAGTAATTGAGGACTGAGGGCAACAGCATGATCGTTTTTGTTAAATTTACTAAAAACAGATTTCATTACAAAAAAATGTCTGGAATTTGATCAGTGGCATAGTTGCTCGATACGAGTTCGTCAGGCGTCGTGTTCTTTAGGCCACGACGGCTTGCGCGTGTCGTTTGAAGCTTAGGGAAACAGTTATTATTAATTTAAACTGGACTCGTATCTTTTAAATGTTGAGTATTATCTGCGCTCGTGTCTCACCTCAGCCAGCATCTCAAATCACCATAAACATTATTGTTGCCTCGCACCTTCAGTCAGGGTGTTAAAATTTCAATTGTAGTAACGCATAACTGCTTCGTATCAGAAATAGGATGTAGGGTGTTATTTATACATATAGATTCACCACGCCTTAACCAGTAGCATTGCAAGTAATTTGGGAACTTAGCCATAACGAATTATGACATGACTAATATGAAACAGCAGCGTCATGCGATATAGTAAGTTTGAATTATTAACTGTTTTTTCTAAAAAATTTGCAAAAATATGTTAGTAGTAGCGAGAAATGCCAGCACGCCACTACTACTGTGTGTGTACTCATATCTATAGTAAAAAAGTAAGCTGTTTGAAACAAATTCAAAATAATTTCGTTTCTGTTTTAAAAAAGGTTTTCTTGTTAGTAGTTTAAATATTGCGTTTAAATGATATACAAGAATACTAGTCCTGTTGAACTTCGACATCATATATTGTGGGTGAAAATTAATTTTATAGTGTATGTATAGGGTCCCAAGGACTAGGTACTTACCGGAGTCCGTTTAATTGGCGCACACTAAAAACGCGTCCATTTAATATCAATTAAATGTATCGTGAATTTACCGACCTGCATGTACGCAATGTAACGTGCCGCGTTCGCCATCCCAATTAAAAAAAATCAATTGTCACCAACAAATGACATTTAGACATTTCAAAAATTCGTAATCAAAGAATTTGTATTTCATTCAATGTCGTTTTTTTTAATTTCGTACTGTTTAAAATAGAAAAATCTTAAAGGAAGCTAGGGATTCCTTGAGCGTATTCATGATATTGAGAATCATACCATTTGATTTTTTTTAGCTTCGGTGTTTAATGTATAAGTGTGTACATGGCTAATAAAAACATCACTATGAAAATAAATGAGAAGAATTTGGGTGCTTTCGCTTCTTCAGCAACCCCGGTGGACCGCGAGGGGTGGCTCGACATGCGTGGTGAAGTTGGTAAGAGCTATCAGCGTCGGTGGTTCACTCTCAAAGGGAATTTGTTGTTTTATTTTGAAAAAAAAGGTGACAAGGAACCTGTCGGAGTTGTTATTCTGGAAGGTTGTACTATTGGTAATTGTTTGTTTTGTTTTTTTTCTACTGTTTTTTTTATTTATTGCTTAGATGGCTGGACGAGCTCACAGCCCACTTGGTATTAAGTGGTTACTGGAGCCCATAGACATCCACAACGTAAATGCGCCACCCACCTTGAGATATAAGTTCTAAGGTCTCAAGTATAGTTACAACGGCTGCCACACCCTTCAAACCGAAACGCATTACTGCTTCATGGTAGAAATAGGCAGGGTGGTGGTACCCACCCGCGCGGACTCACAAGAGGTCCTACTACCAGTAATTACGCAAATTATAATTTTGCGGGTTTAATTTTTATTACATGATTCCTTCACCGTGGAAGTCAATCGTGAACATTTGTCAAGTACGTATTTCATTAGAAAAATTGGTACCTGCCTGAGTTTCGAACATCGGTGCATCGCTCAACACGAATGCGCTGGACGTTTTATCCGTTAGGCCACGACGGCTTCAGAACACTTTCTTCACTTCACTACTTACATACATAGTTACATACTTACATACTTCTTTTTTGAATAATTTACTAATATTTTGTGCAATGATTGTTTTTGAGCTAATGTCTTCAGTCTCTTGTGTGTGTCTCATGTAAAATGATCTAAACTCTTAATCCCTTAAGAGCCTTTGTTTGCAGAATTAACAGAAGAGGAAGCATACAGTTTTAAAATAGTATTTCAATGTGAAGGAGGACGTACATACTATTTATGCACTAGTTCACAAGCATCCATGGAGTCATGGATGAAAGCATTAGCGTGTGCAAGTTATGACTATATGAAACTCATGGTGGCTGAGTTACAGAGACAGTTGGATGAAGCACAAGGTCAGTTGAAATATTCTACAGAATTCTTCTTATTTGAAATAAAAACAGAACCAAATAAAAATGTTATAAATGTTAAAAGAAAGAATATAAAAAAGTTTCTATATATAGTGCAACCTCGATATAACCAATCAGAACAAAACAAGTAAATATTCATTATATCAAGCAATTCAGTAAACTGAGGTTTGTTATATGAAGGTTAGGTTGGCCTACCATTTGTGATAATGAGTTAAAAAAAAAAAGGTTTTTTCCCCTCAACATTTCATACTCATCTTGTTATAGTGAAAAACTTCTACTAATAAATATTTTTATCAAATTACTGTATGTATTTACTATATAAAAACAAGTAGGTAGGTAACAATTTTTCTCAAACTTGTCGAGACTGATTCACATACTATGGGATTAAGGCGGTTATTGGTGGGAACGTTACATAAAGGTTTTGGGTTGACCAAATTCGTCAATTAGAGGTATTTACACTATTTTTATAGTTGAAAATTCATTATAGAGAGGTTGTTTGTAAGAAATCTTGGCAATGTAAAGGTATATTTTACATTGACTTTTATGGACAATTCAAGGGGATAACGAATAATTTATTAAATCGAGGACGTGATTATTATGAGGTTCCTTATATTAAGGTGGTACTGTATTTGACCTTTATATGTTACACTATCTATCTTCTATATATTACTATATATATTACACTATCTATTCTATTTTTGATCATTACTAATCAAAATAAAAGAAAAAGCACTATAACACAGAATGTTATTGGAATAATCACAAATATTTACAATAATATATACCCAATAAAGCATTTTTATTATATGTTATCTCTTAATAGCTATTGTCGTCCAACAAAGTTCCAACAATTTTTTGTTTCAGCTGAAGTCGTAGCTGAGGCCACATCAGTAGTAACTGTGACTCCACCAGAAGATGAACCCAAAGCACCACCACGAGGGCAGAGATATAATCCCTTCAATCGAGGTCCTGATTCAGAACCTAAGACCGTGCCAGGCAGTAGACATCGTAAGTATTATGCCATTAATAAAGAGAATAACATCCTATAACAAAAATCAAACCCGCAAAATTATTATTTGCATAGTTATTGTTGGTAAGAGCTCTTGTGAGTCCGCCTCGGTAGGTACCACCACCCTGCCTATTTCTGCCATGAAGCAGTAAGACGTTTTGGTTTGAAGTGTGGGGTAGTCATTGAAGATATTGTAAATATACTGAGGCCTTAGAACTCATATCCTAAGGTGGGTGGCGGCATTTACGTTGTAGAACTCTATGGGCTCTAGTAACCACTTAATGCCAGGTGGGCTGTGAGCTCATCCTTAACCCCACCGTAACTACAATAATGGTGTCTATTGTGTGATATGTCTCATTAAAATGGTTATATTAAGATGAAAATCTACATATTTGAATAAAATCATTTGATTGATGATCTTGGAAATGCTTATGGGTTGAACGACTTCTTATATTGTAATTTTTAACGTTTTACTCAAATGATACATTCTATTATGGCTAATGAGATCAGTATTTTACAATAGTTTGCTCTCCCAGGGTATAATAATATTGATTATAAGTACTTTTCAATGTTTTCAATTTTCTCTTCTGTAGACAAGTAAACAATAGTAGAAAAACACTTCTTGTTCTCCACTATTATGCATTATTGTTATTAAATTCTGACCTATATCCTAAATTTTCGGGCTTTCGTAGTTTTCAAACAGAAGAAATAAAGGTGGTTTAATAAAAAATATTATTTAATAATGTTCAGATAAAGAAAGTGTTCGAGCCGAGGTACCGCGCAAGATGGTTCCCTTTCGCGACATCCACACTGCTTACGGCCGCAAGATATTATCGGACCGGAGCCAATGGCGAGCGAGGATAGTTAAACAGAAGGAAGACTTCTCTGATCACACCCTTATCGAGTTATAAGGACAGACGTGCTAGAAGCTACTGGCCAAGGTCATATGATGTGTAACACAGACTCTAGATTAAGTGTTTCCCAGAGTGTTGTATGAATTGTGAATGAAATAGGTGATCAAGAAAAGCTGTGATTAATTTTGAAAATTAGCACCGTTTTTTCATCACTTACGACCAAGTTTTTAGTGTTTTTTTTCCCTACCTATTCGCTGGTAGCCTGAGAGACTATTACCAGCTACGTGCGGACGGGTAGGTGAGCTCACGGGCTCAACCTGAGATAATTTGCTAACACTAGCACATGGTTATGTGTCCATAAGAAATACATAGAATTTTTACTGGTGGTAGGACCTCTTGTGAGTCCGCGCGGGTAGGTACCACCGTCCTGCCTATTTCTGCCGTGAAGCAGTAATGCGTTTCGGTATGAAGGGTGGGGCAGCCGTTGTAACTATACTGAGATCTTAGAACTTATATCTCAAGGTGGGTGGCGCATTTACGTTGTAGATGTCCATGGGCTCCAGTAACCACTTAACATCCGGTGGGCTGTGAGCTCGACCACCCATCTAAGCAATAAAAAAAAAAACTATGTGAATTAAAACTATGAAAGCATAGAAAATGTATTCTTTATGTGTTGAAGTATTTGAAAACTTGAATATCAACATTGAAAGTTAATAATTGTTTGTTTGTTATCACTAAACACTTTTCATTGTTGTTTTAGTTGCTTAATAAAAACAATGTCATAATGTATGATAATAAGAGAATAAATTAATTAATTAGAAATGACCTCATCACTTTGAATACTAAGTATTGTTAGTTCATTGTTTTGATTTAAGGTAGTCAGTTAAAGAGGCTAATAAACTATTAGAGAGGAATGAGTGAATGTTCTCTGAGTGTACTCACTAAAACTCGTTCACAATAATATAAGGAAATTTATTGAAGTGAAACCACATTTTATGGAACACTAAACATGTTACCAGAAAATTTTCTGTATAGTTACTGAAAATTGAACTGAAATATGTTAAACTCAATTATCATAATAGCGAATAATTTATACTTCTATGTAAATGTAAATTCTGATTTAAAGGAATAAAAAAAAAAAATCGTGAAAACTAGTACGTAACGGATTCTTATTAATAATTGTTATTGAGTATTGTAACGAATTGGAAATAATTTGAAAAAAAAAACGAATACTATTTTTGTATAATAAATATATTAGAATAGTAGCACTAGACTTGCCGTAATGTATTATCGGGTAAATAAATATAAGAGAAAAAAATAAAAACAAGAAAAATTTGTATTAAGAAGTTTTATTTAAAAAAAATCTTTGTTATACAAACCAACACTTTACAAACGTGACCGGGTACAGTCTGCAGTTTGAACGAGCTGAAAAATAATTAACGAGCACGTTTCCGCTGCAGACGGTACCGGTCGGGTCGTAATATAAATTACTTTGCCGCGTGAACTTAACTAAAAAAACCTGTCAAGCGATTAATTACAATGCTCTTATCGTCGCTTTAGAGTCGGAACATTGCAAATGAAATATAAAATATATGTTTTTTTTTAATCTTTGCGAAACTTTTACACTATGTAGATGTTTATATTCAGCAAAAAATGTTTTTCTTTTACGATGTCCGTAACTAAAAGCGACGTTATACAGTTTTGGTATTAACTTCGTTCTATGCAACTAGATAACATTGAGCAATACAATTTGAAGCCGTCTTGCTTTTGTAAACGAGGCACGTTCTAATCGTTCTTCAGACGCCGAATGCCCGCTGCGGAGGACAAATGGTAACAAGTCATTTTTTTTTTTAAATTATAGATTACTTTTATTTGATGACATCACAGAAAAGTTTGGGAGTTGTGCTCGTTGTGAAATATTTCATATTATTATTTAAATCACCAAATCGACAAAGTAAAAGTTTTACGGAACAGGGAAAGTTGTGTAAATTTGTTTCTTTCTGTATTCTGTGATGTCACTATTCTACGTAAATACATATTATGTTAAGGACGCGATACACAAATAACAAACGTAAATGTCAAAAAATGAATCTTATAAATTAATGTTACATACAACAACAAAAAAAAAACCATTAAATAGTAGGCCTCTCTACGCACGCGCGTGATACTCAACGAATAACCTCCTCCGGATTGTTTTGTGACGAATATCATTAAAATTTCACATTGAAAAATTATAATAAATAATCGGGTCATTCGTCTACGTATACGACACGTTACAAAAAAACCTTTTAAATAGGTTATAATATATAGTCGATTATAATCTCCTTGCGACCTAAAAACTACGTCGATTATATAATACGTTAACACTAATCGTTTGAGACGCAAATGTAAAAATAAAAAGGCATTTCAAAAAGAAAGAAAAAAAAAACTTTGCAAATAAGAACAAAACAAAAATGACTGTCAAAATAAAACTAAAAGTAACAATTACGCCTCAAAACTTTATAAAAGGGTTATATAAATATGAAAAAAATATTTGGTAACAATTTACTTAAGAGATAAAGTATAGGGGTGTTCTGAAATTGCATTACAATAATCGTGAACGTTAGTATGTACAGCGTGTTCAAAATAAACTATACAATAAACACTTCACTAACCGTTAATTAACGAGCTTAGCATCATTCACTCGAAGAGCTTTTAAATAGAAATATACAGTGTTAATTAATTATAAAAACAATGAATAAAGTTATATACATTTCGTGTGGTGGGTGGGAATCTGGCCACTTGTGTTTTGGTTTTAGATATAATGTGTAAGTTAGTTTATATTCAGTTATAAGTTCGCATACTCACTTGCGAATGATTTTTATTTTAAACATGACTTAAAGTAAACTTTATCTGTAATAAAGGCCGTTCTCAAAGGTTAGCTACTTAAAATGATCCGAACACACACACAAATAATGAGGCAGTGGCCAGGCGTGAGCGTGGTGGGTAAGACTTAAAATAATTGTTGGATACACACCGTACTGTCTGTATGGTTTTTTACAATCTTAAAAAAACGTGTTATATCTTTAAATTCTACATTGTTTTTTTTTATATCAAACAATGGGTACCCAGCGCTTACTATGACCATAGACGAGGCTTAGTTCGTTTAATTTCTTTGCCGATTAATTTAAATTTAGAAACTTAATCTTTATGGTCTTAGTAAGTTTATGGTCGATAGACAAGACGTAATTGTGACACTATCGACAGCACTCCAGAGTCGCTTAGAGCAGTTCAAAGCGCTTCTTTCGCTCGGCGACCATCCCGGCGAGGGGTCCCACGGCTGGGCGCCCACTCACAGAGCATCGCCGACTAGTTTTCAATTCTGCAAAATTAATAAATACAAAAAGTAAATTATAGCTTATTTGCATTAAGTGACATCGCTGAAGACCTATCGAAATGACAACACTATGAATACAATTTTAACAAAATCAACAAAAGTAAAACAGTGCGCAAGATTTTGTCGTATCGTTATTTGAGTTGAAAGGATCCCATTTTCCTTTTCAACGCAACTTTTATGATGAGAACGTGTCCCTGACGTTCAGCCTTATTATAACTACCACAGCGTAGACATTATTACAGACAGTTTGAAGTCGTCGTGGCCTAAAGGATAAGACTTCCTGTGCATTCGTGTTGAGTGATGCTCCAGTGTTCGAATCCTGCAGGCGGGTACCAATTTTTCTAATGAAATACGGACTTAAATAAGGTTAATGAATACAAACTCTCAACTTTTGGTAAATACCCTGCTCGAGCACGTTGATGTTTAGATGTCTATGGGCTCCAGTAACTATTTAACACCAGGTGGACTGTGAGCTCGTCCACCAATCTATGCAATAAAAAAAAGACAGTTAAGACTTAATGTCAACGTATCTATACCTGTACGGGAGACAGTTGTAGGTTTCTGGTCGTCTCCGTCTTGGCGAACTGTATCTTGGCCGGGCGCGCCGCTCTCGCCTCTACTAAGTGATTCGACTTTGACGGTTTCCCCTAAAAATGTATGATTTTTTGTTTGTTGTCGTTTACTTTTATAATTCATTTAAATAAGCAGCGGTAAAAAGCATTAGTGCGTTATGAATAATGTGAAGTCAAACTAGCGCCCTCTGTGAGAACCGTTTTAATGTTTGGCATCTCAACTCTATTTCAAACTTATTTATTAGTAGAAATGTCGCGTCAGTTCACCCTTGTTAAATATGTGATTCTATAATCATTAATGTGTATTTTAGTCTGAATAAAAATTTATGTATCTCTCCGATCAGAGAGATACCACGTTGATTTGTTTGTTATTATGTTTGCTAGTACTGACAACCACTACTTGGAAGGCGAGTGTCATTTCCTTAATACTCTTTTTAACAAATAAATGTTTTTGTAATTTCGTGATCTACCGAATATGTTGTTACCACTAAAAGTCCATACCCACCACTAAACACCACTAAAAGTCTAAACCTACCACTAAACATCACTAAAAGTCTAAAAAACACTAGAAGACAAACTAGCAGCTTAGGGCTTTTATTTAAACATAATCGTATACATTAATAACCTAACCTAACAACTGCCGTTTAATAAATTATCTTTTAAAGTAATTAGGGATTTGGTACACTGAAAATGTTATAACTCTGGTAACTTGAAGGAAATGTGCATTGTTTTGACTAAGTTCGTAGTGCTTTTTATCGTTGGGCGTCGAACAATCAAAATCTAAATTAAAATAACATCTACGGCGAATTTTCAAGGTTCGCATCGTTCAAAAAATAACAAATAACAGGGAATTTTTGTTTTACGCAAAAAATATTTACTCACTATACTTGGGCCATTACAAACGTTCGAACTGAGTCATAAAACATTACGTCAAAGGGATGTGATAATTGTGTTAGTTATAATTAGACAACGAGAGGGCTGGTGGTCGTGGCGCTGACGACTGCCGGTCCGGCGTCCCGAGGGAGAGGGTGATGGGAGAGATGTGCTCCGCACTAAACGCTTCACTTTCCCTCCTTTGCCTTTTCATGAGCTCTGTCTCATGCGAGGTTTGGACGTTGGTTGTTGAGCGATAGGAGGTTTTAGTCAGTTCGGCTGCCCCGCCCTTCAAACCGAAACGCATTACTGCTTCACGGCAAAAATAGGCAAGGCTGTGGTACCTACCCGCGCGGACTCACAAGAGGTTCTACCACCAGTGAAAAGTTATTCATAATGTGTTGATAGTGCTTAACGAATTAAAAAGTGACCCGGAAAAAACATCTTTTTTAAATTTAAATAAATAACGTTTTTTTGTGTAATTATATTGATTTAAGTTTTATACACATATCACTAGAAGTGCGAGCGAGAGATCCGATATGCCTATAAGTGTGAGCGAGAGATCCGATACGCCTATAAATGCGAGCGAGAGATCCGATATGCCTTTAAGTGTGAGCGAGAGGTCTGATAAAAATGATTTATGACTCGGTTCGCACGTTTGCAATGGCCCAAGTATGAGTTTTTTTGTTTGTTTTACCTATGATTTTCTTTGTTCGATCGGGGGCTCTGGTCGGGTAAGGGGGGCGCGTGTTACCTGCGTGTGCGTGCGCGCGCCGCCAGCCCGCCGCCAGCGAGCGCAGCTGCGTCCACAGCGGCGCCGCCCGCGCATGCTGTTAGTGCACCCGGACCGTCACTCTCACGCCGAACTCACCGCCGCCCCGGGAATCGAACTTGACTTTTTTGTCTGCCTAAGCCGACAGCCTTGAGAGGCTATTTCAGCGTAACCTTAACTAATAGGTGTGCTCACGGGGCTCAAACCGGAGTGATGCTAACACTGACCCTAGCAAGAGCAGCGCTTCGCAGAATCTACCACCGGATCGGAAACGCGTCCCACTGAGAAGATTTATTTTTTATTTTTTTTGTTGCCCTCGTAGGCAGAAGAGCATACGGCCCACCTAATGGTTAGTGGTTACCGTCGCCCATGGTCTTCAGCAATGCCAGGGGCAGAGCCAAGCCGCTGCCTACCGCATTTCCGGCGAGAAACTCAGTGGGCTGTGTCTATGGGTTCGAACTTGCCAGTACACCCCCCAAAACTTCGGCCAATCGTAGCGTTCAGTTCATTAGGAATTACAACGCTCAGCCAATTGTAAGCATCCGTGCACACAAACCACGTTACGTACATCAGAAAAAATTATAACATCGTGGTACGAGAACTGAATGAAAATTTACATTTTAAACAAACAATTTTAATCTAAATAAATTTAATTTGTAGTTCGATTCCCGAGACCTTTGAATCAATATTAAGTTTTCCAAGATATATACAAAAATTTGGATGCTTTTATACAGTAATTTGCCAAGATTTTTGAAATTATACTTCTTTTGGCTCATTTGGGAAAATAGATGATTTAATACACACATAATTAAATAGATATTATATTGTGTATTAACAAAAAGTCAAATCAAAATAATTTAACATTTTTTTTTTTTTTTTTTTTTTCGGGCCGGGGGCCGAACCTCCTACGAGGTCCCCGCGCCTAGGGGGCGCGCGGGGTATGTGAGACTCAACGATCTGCAGGTGTTGAGAGCAGATCGCGGGCCCAAGGATTTTAGGGCCCACCCACTAAACGACTTCCCTGCACTCTTACACCCGACGTCCGATCTCCGTCCGGGGTCAGAACCCGTTCAGAGTAGGGGGGTTCCCGCGGTCAACACTACAACCAGACACGCGGCGCCACCCCGAGGANGAGACGGAGATATTTACGTATATTCATGTTTCATTTTATGTACGCACTGAAATACTGTTATATTGTTTTCCTGCGAGTTAAAGTGCTGAGCAAGAACGAGATAGATATATGTTTATGTATGTGCTTTCAAAATGGGTGCTATTTATATAAGCAATTGTACGTATAGAACAATATGTCGTGTCCCTACTATATAGGTCTATGGGCCCAAGTATGAGTTTTTTTGTTTGTTTTACCTATGATTTTCTTTGTTCGATCGGCCTCTCTGGTCGGGTAAGGGGAGCGCGTGTTACCTGCGTGTGCGTGCGCGCGCCGCCAGCCCGCCGCCAGCGAGCGCAGCTGCGTCCACAGCGGCGCCGCCCGCGCATGCTGTTAGTGCACCCGGACCGTCACTCTCACGCCGAACTCACCGCCGCCCCGAGAATCGAACTTGACTTTTTTTCTTTTTTTTTTCTGCCTAAGCCGACAGCCTTGAGAGGCTATTTCAGCCTAACCTTAACTAGTAGGTGTGCTCACGGGGCTCAAACCGGAGTGATGCTAACACTGACCCTAGCAAGAGCAGGGCTTCGCAGAATCTACCACCGGATCGGAAACGCGTCCCACTGAGAAGATTAATTTTTTATTGCCCTCGTAGGCAGACGAGTATACGGCCCACCTAATGGTGAGTGGTTACCGTCGCCCATGGACTTCAGCAATGCCAGGGGCAGAGCCAAGCCGCTGCCTACCGCATTTCCGGCGAGAAACTCAGTGGGCTGTGTCTATGGGTTCGAACTTGCCAGTACACCCCCCAAAATTTTGGCCTATCGTAGGGTTCAATTCATTAGGAATTATAACGCTTAGCCAATCGTGAGTGTCCGTGCACACAACCACGTTACGTACATCAGAAAAAATTATAACATCGTGGTACGAGAACTGAATGAAAATTAACATTTTAAACAAACAATTTTAATCAAAATAAGTTTAATTCGTAGTTCGATTCCCGGGACCTTCGAGTCAATATTAAGTTTTCCAAGATATATATGTACAAAAATTTGGATGCTTTTATACAGTAATTTGCCAAGATTTTTGAAATTATACTTCTTTTGGCTCATTTGGGAAAATAAATGATTTAATACACACATAATTAAATTAATTGTAAATATTGTGTACCAAAAATTGGAGCCTATATTTATATATGTATTGTGAGTTTTTACTGATTAATATTTTTAATTATCATTAAATAAAGTAACACTGTGAACGATGAGTTGGTTAATTGTTGTAATATGCCAAAGAAGTACAACTTCTTACGTGCGTGCTCGTTTTTATTTACATTTGAATGTAGTAAGGTGATGATTGCGTGGCATGTATGATACATATGTTATGTGCGTGAGACGATGCAAGCGTGGAGCGATAACTAGTCTGGATGCTTATAGCTTGGTTTGTGCGAGTATGTGCGCCGCTGGCTCCGTGCGGCATGCAGCCGTCCTTACCGTGCCGTTCTCTTCGTACATCGGCGAGGAAACACTCTCAGAGTTCTTCATTTCGTTTGCTTCCGAGATGATGTGCGCGCGAAGTTGTTTGTTTCTGGAAGTAAGCATTGTTATTCTGTTAATACAAGAAGTAGATTACATAGGCAATATCAATTAGAATTTCTACGTTCACTGCCTACAGATTTAAGGGCAGGTCTAGTCGTGGTCTTGTCGATTTGTTTGGTAGAAAATGGGTAGCAGGCAACGTTGTCCACCAGGACAGATTCGATGGGCAGAACAGACGTTATTCCACTACCACTGCTAAGTCAAGCGACGATGCTTTAAGTATCTGTCACCCGATTTACGCTTTAGTTGTATATATGTGACAGTAACCTGGCGTCGAGCTGCAGGATGTGTCCGTGGGCCTGTGCGAGCTGCGCGGTGGCGGCGGCGAGGCGGTCCTCCAGCGCTGCGGACTCCACGCACTTCACCGAGTACTTCTCCGAGAGGGATAGGATCTCGCGTTTGATCTCCTCCATCTCTTGCCTGTCGTACCAAAAGGGTTATTGTTATTATTTTTCATTGGATTTATTGAACTGCCTCACGGCAGGGGATCGTTTCGTGCGACTATACTATTATTCGAGCAAAATGGACTGTGAGCTCTCTATATTATGTAGTTATGTACTGCATATCAAGAGTAACAAAAAAAAAGAGAAATCAAGTAGTGGTAGGACCCTATGAGTTGTTCATGAGCATGTGGTTATTTACCAATAACCAAAAAAAGATAACAATTGTAGGACTTGAACTCGGAATTGTCTTATTACTTAATACAGCGACCTCCTGTCTATAAGGCTGTGGACACCTTAGATATATGAGTAATGATTTCTTGGAAATATCGACTCACTGATGTCTAGAGCTGAGCTGCGACAGATCTCCACTCTGAGCTCCTCTGCTCAGGAACTCCGCTTTGAACTTATCCACCTCTCTTCGCACTTCGCTCTCATGAGCCTTCCGCATGGCGTCCAGCGCCGCCAGGGTCGCTCGCGTCTCCTCTGCTAAAGCCTGCTCCTTGTCCAGCCTGGAATTAGCAAATCAATTAAAAATTAAAGCAGAAAAATGACAAACACATCGATCAGTAATGTCGATCTTCTTTTTCTTTTTTTTTAAGCCATTGTTGTTGTTTATACCATTGTTGCTAGTGTGGAGCTTATAAAATATCTTCTGATATTAAATACATGCAATTATTCTAATGAAAAATTATATAAAGCTAAATGAGATGAAGTTCAACAAATAATCAATTGGGATTAAATTAAATGAAACAAGATGAGATGGGATGAAATATAATCTCAGTAAAACGGTGGTTAACGTTACTGTCTTCTTGAGAGATTTACCATAACCAATTGACAAAGCGTATGCCGATGACGAGGTAGTTCGTTTATCTGAACTGACTACAAATTAAGACTACAGTGGGAGGTCCCCTAAATGAGTGCAGTAGAATGGNTAATCAATTGGGATTAAATTAAATGAAACAAGATGAGATGGGATGAAATATAATCTCAGTAAAACGGTGGTTAACGTTACTGTCTTCTTGAGAGATTTACCATAACCAATTGACAAAGCGTATGCCGATGACGAGGTAGTTCGTTTATCTGAACTGACTACAAATTAAGACTACAGTGGGAGGTCCCCTAAATGAGTGCAGTAGAATGGCCTCGAGCAGGGAGGGATGGCGGGACATCTTGAGACGCGTCTTGACGCAGTCTTGACTGCCCCTTCCAACACTACATGACGTTCACGACCACTCTGTCAACAGTGATGCGATTGAGAAGAACATTTTTCGTGGGTCCGGGCGACTCTAAGGTGATATTCGTTGGACAATATTGAAATGTCGACAATTTAATTTGAATATTACACTGGAATAACACTCGTCGACTAAATCGATCTACAATTATCGAGAGGTATTATCGCATTGTATCAATAGATAACGCAGCTGCCGCGGGTGCTGTGGCCAGAAAAGCCCTTAAGAAAGCTCATGTGAAGCTATATGCATACGGATTTATTAAGTACCTGAGTTGTTCTCTCTCGGCGCGGTGTTTCTCCTCCATCTCCCTGACGATGCGCCGGTGTGAGCTCTCCATGGCGAGGAGTCCCTTCTCGCACAGCGCGCGGAGTTGCTCGATCTCCTGCTGGTATCGGACCCTCAGGTTGTCGCCGTGCGTGTCCGCCGACACTGCGCTCTGTCACGACGACGAGGTTTGATACAGTTGTTAGTATAATATAATAATACGTCTCGTGTGATATATTCTTATCAGAAACGAAAGGAGACTTGTAAAACACAATCTACTTTTGGAAATTCATAAACTGTATAAAAATACTTTTTTAAAAAGATAATTATTTAGATAATTTCGTAATTAAATTTCTTAAGCTTGAATTAATATTAAAAAGCAGTTGTTTAATTTCATTGGGAATGTGTAGATTGAATTCTATATGAAATGTTGAAGCGAACTCTTATTTTTTGCAAGCAGAGCATACAGTCCATTGATGGTGAGTGGACCAAGCCAAGCCGCTGCCTACCAAAATCCGGATATAATGAAAAAATACGAATCCAATAATTAGACAGTCCCTGGATCAGTTTTGAATTAGATGTCGGTACTGGAGCAAAATGAATTAATGGAAACAGTATTAATGATTAATGTTGAACTGACCTGGTACGCCGCTCGGAGGCTCTCGAGCTGTGCGGAGTACTCGGAGTCCAGGGCGGCGAGGCGGCGCTGCAGCGTGCGCGCCCGCTCCCGCAGCTGCGTGCGCTCCCGCTCGTGCTGCGTCTGCAGCTGGGTGCGAGCGCGCCGCGCCGCCGCCAGCGCGCCCGCCTGCTGCGCCAGCGCCGACTCCCCGCGCGCACGCTCCTCGTGCAGCCTGCACACACACACCGCACGTCACAACACGGTCTCTCTACTCTGTACCTACTCGCCCCACACGCTACCGTACATACCTGTCCAGTGCGTCCTGCAGCTGCTTGCAGTGCTGGCACGGCACCAGCGCTTGCAGAGCTTCGACGCGCCGCCGGAGCACCTCTATGCGACCAAGCGCGCCCTCCCCGCGCTCGTCGCTACCCCCCGGGAGCTCGGTGCTGACGTCACCGCGGACGGCCGACAGCTGGCGCCGCACTGCCTCCACGGCAGCCTCCACCCGCTCGAGGCTCTCGCTGATCTTCATCGAGTCTTCACTGTTACCGGAACAGTCACTGGAGAAGAGCGCGCGACACTCGGTTGAGAAGCGCTGAAAGAGATAAACGAACTCCGCTTCCTGAGCGGGGTCGGTCTCCAGCGAGCGCAGGGCGTCGTCTGCACGGGGGGCGGAGTCCCGGTCCGGCGGGGCCGCGCGGTACGTGCCCTCCAGCACGGCCACTCTCGCGTCCACCAGAGCCCTCTGCGCTAGGACCTCGGCAAGCTGCTGCAGCAGCGCTCGGCTGTCGAGCCCGGCCGAGCCTTCCCGTCGACCGTTGGCGAGACACTCCCGGTACCGCACCGCAATGTCCCTCACGGCCGCGTCCATCTCGCAGCGCAGATGGTCGTGTGCCGCCTGCCACCACAGCTCGAGGTCGGCGCGGTCCTGTGCGGTGAGAGTGAGGCGTCCCTTGCGCGACTCGTCGAGGCGCTCTTCGCAAAGCTGTGCGGCGCGGGCCAAAGCTCGGGCGACTTCAGCCTGTACTAGCTCGGCGCCTAATGTGTCTCGTGCTGTGGCCCACGCCTCCCGAACTCTCGCAGCTTCGACGTTAGCTCTATCACGATCAGAGTCTCCATCGGGCGACGCGTAGCTGAGGGTCTCGCAAGCCAAGGCGCTGCAGAGTTCACCTAACTTATCAGTCTTGTATCGATCCACGGCCTCGGCGACCTCCCGTTGCGATGCTTTCAGAGCCTCAAGATCGGCTGCGTGAATGATCAGCTCCGAGCGTCGGAGATCTTCAGCTTCGCGAGCTTCATTAACGATATCGATTTTTCTCGAAAGAATTTTTGCAAGATAATCGAGAGAGCTTCTGACGCCGGCGCTGTCTGTGTGTCCATCGCCGTTGAGACGCCTTCTAAGGTTGTCTATTAACTGTCTGGTTTCGACAATCTCTGATTTAATTAACCTTGCAAAGAACCTACTTCCGTTTGAGGACTCCAACGCCTCCTGAATCCGGCTGACAAGAACAGACTCGTAGGCCAGCTTCTCGGCAAGCAGTTCGAGACTCTTTCTTTGCGTGAGTTCGCCAGCTTCGTACAGCTCTGCTTTCCTTTTAGATATTTCTAATAATTTTGTTCTAAGCTGTTCTTCGAGCTGTACGACCACTTGGGCGACGCTGTCGTTCGCTTGCTGCTCTTGATCACAATCAACTACACACTTGTCGAAGCAGTCTTGTAATGTCTTACTGACTTCTGTCAAACATTTTTCCATAGATTTGATGCTGTACTTTTTTTCCAGGCTCGGCGAAGGTGACCTCCTTGACTTTGCGGCTCTCATTGCGCTCATCTGACACAAACATTCATTTACTTTATTTCTCGAATGTATCACGACGTTTTCGAGGCTCTGTAATCTGTCCAGAAGATGCCTCTGTGATTGCGTGCCGACAGATGTGCTCTGTGTACTGTCGTTGAAAATAGGGCTTTCCGTTGATCTTATGGCTTGATTCAACGACTCACAGGAGTTCATAAGGTCTCGGCGATTTTCCAAGGCCGAGGCCACTTTGGTTTCTAACGAACTTAATCTGACTAACATTTTCATAGGTTCCGAACTTGTGGCGCTATCCAGCGACTTCCTCCGTAATCTAGCGGCGAGCCTTTTCATACGTTTTTCGTCCGTGGTACTGTCGGGTTTCGTGGTTTTTTCTTTGGCAGGCGACGAGCTCTTGGATGGTGAATTAATCGTGGGAACGTGTTCTGAAGCCAATAGCGTTATTTTGTTTTCTAATTCTGTCAGTTTTTCTTCAACTTCTTTGCCTAAAGTAAACGATTCTCTTCCTTTCAACGACAGACTGCGTCTTTTGTCTCTGGACTCGGATTTTTGTATTTTGTGTTTTAATGTACGAACCTGTTTGTCGGAAGCTGTTAATTTTTGTGTCAAATCCAAGATACGAGCCGCCATCAGGTCTATTTCCGATTGGCTGCATTGCTCCCTAAGTTTCATTTCATTTCTTAATTTCATGTTAGTTACTTCTAGTTCATCGTACATATTGTGTGATTCTCTGAGTTCTTGTTTCATCGCTTTTATTTCTTGTATAGCTTTTAAGAACCTCGTTCGTAACTCTACGTACTCTTCGATAAGTCTATTTTTCTCTAAAGCTTCTAAGTTTAAATCTTGTTTGATATTAGTCAGATCACTGAGTGATCCTATACTTTTTCTCTTTTCTCTAGAGGGTGACTCGGCGGCCACGCGACCTTCTAGTTCTCTTATTCTCGTGTATAAATTATCGTTTTCTTTCACACTCTTTACTAATTTGTCGTTTAGTTCATTCAACTCTCGCTGCAGTTGCTTGATGTTTTCCTGCGCTGCGCTAAGTTGCTGTGTCAGCAGCTCACAGTGTTCGGTGGATTCCTTCAAGAAGTTTTGTGTCTCAGTCAGTTTGTTCTCCCACAGTGTTTTATCCTGGTTGTAAAGTTGTCGTATGGCGTCTAAGTTCTCGGCTTCCTTAGTTCTTAATATTAGTTCTTCTTCTTTATTTTGTAGGGCTGTAACTAATTCCTCCATTTTGGTTTCTCGTAAAGCGGCTTCAGACTTTAGTTTTTGAAGTCTTGCAAGTTCCGCTTCGGCGGCGTTCAAGTCATTCACAGCCATTTTGAGCTGCTTCCGCAAGCCTTCGATTTCGGTCGATTGTTTGTCTATGGTCGATATGTAGCTGCGTTTTCTAGGTTCTATCGGCTTTTCGTTTTCGTCCACTTCGTTGGACGGGCGTTCTTTTTCTTTGGTTGCGTCGATTTCGTCTTTAGAGGCGTCTGTTTTAGTCGGGGTTTGATGATTACCACGTGCACGGACTTTTTCTTTAACTTTGGAAATAGGTGTACGGGTTAATATTGGAGACGGTGGAGGTTGCGCACCGACTTCACCCCAATCGGCGCTATCCCTGCGACCACCTTCTGAAGCCGTTCGATACTCTTCATCAGACGAGAATGGTGCAGATTTCCCAGTGCCGGGTGTGACAGGTGTCACTGGTGACGCAGACGATTCTGATGCTTGGTCAATAGAGTCTTCCCTTAGTATCAAAGATAGCGGGCCGGTATCAGGCAGCCCGGCCGTTCGTTTCATAGCAGAAACCCAATTTGCTCTTATCCCTGCGGTTACAGCTGACAACACTATTTGCTTTCCATCCCAAGTCTGAAAACAATATAAACATTTATGTAAAATGAAATAAAGCATAATTGGATCGTCCGTTGCTAATGAAGTGAATTCTTACTAACATTTTTTTGAATTATTTTAATGGATTACTTAGGTATGTTTAATATTGACTTACCTCTGTCTCAAAAGCATATCCATATCCAGTGTTTGACGCTGCGGCCGGTAACTCAACTACTCTGGAAATCCCACTCAAGTCTATGACCCCATCCATAAGTCCTCGCTGTTCTGCGTGTGGATCTCTAAAGTACAGTAGCGCAGCTCCTCTGAGCACGAACCAATGCCGTGACCAACCTGATGAACCTTTTCTGTATAACCAACCGGCCCTTGCATGCAGTAACCTTTCAGCCGGTAGTTCCACTCTACCACCCTCGCCGGGTTCAGTGGTCTCAACCGCATCTGTCGGCTCGCTACCTTCGCTGGCCGAGCTGGAGCTGCCTTCTTCTGGCGGAGCACCACCATCAGGTGAGTTCCGAGACTGTAATACAAAAAAATATTGTCGTTAATGAACTACAAAAAATATAATAGAATCTACCACCAGATCGGAAACGCGACCCACTGAGAAGATCCGGCGAGAAACTCAGTGGGCTGTGTCTGAGGGTTAATTTACTCGTCGAGCCCTTCGTCGCAAGCGACGGGTTCGACGATAACGATGACCGGTGCTTGAGGTAGCTAAAAGCACCGTTAGTGGATCGTGAGGATCCGAAATGACGTGTTTGGGGCGACGTCGACTGCTTTCTATTTTGTCCGCAGGATCGGGAATGTAGTTATCGGCGGCCACGATGAGAGGGTTCTCGTGTCGTGTTGCTTTATCGAAGTTGTATAATTGGATTTTTATTTGTTTATAGGCACCTTCAATCGGTCAGGTGGCAGCCTGGTCGGTCTTTCAAGGGTCGGCGGTAAGGCTCTTCTAGAGCGAGGTCTCGTGAGCGACGCCGCAATGTCTCGGAGCTGCTCGTCGTAGCGCTGATGGTGTTGTTGAAGCAGCGGTGACCGGACGCCAGCTGTGAAAAATAAATTATGGTGAGATCTCAAGGACATAAGCCACTGTGACTTGTATCTTGAAGTTTCTATGAAATGCTGTACGAGATGTGATGTTTAAAATACCTTCATCAGCAACGGGCGCTGGGGTTGTTTCTGTCCATGTGTCCCGACGCCGTGATCTTGCCTTTTCTTCTCCGTTAATTTTATCTCTGGTGGGAGGTGACGCCGACGATACTGGCTGATCTGTATATACTGGAACAAAGATATTTAACATTTTAGCNTGTATCTTGAAGTTTCTATGAAATGCTGTACGAGATGTGATGTTTAAAATACCTTCATCAGCAACGGGCGCTGGGGTTGTTTCTGTCCATGTGTCCCGACGCCGTGATCTTGCCTTTTCTTCTCCGTTAATTTTATCTCTGGTGGGAGGTGACGCCGACGATACTGGCTGATCTGTATATACTGGAACAAAGATATTTAACATTTTAGCTTTTTGAACATTAATTTAACGATACGTTAAATACGCAAACCCGCCGTGAGGTTTAGATTGAAATACATCAAAGAGCATTGAAACTATTTTTAGGACAATTAATTGCAGTCAAGACTTAGCGGATTCAATGGTTTGTCAAAAAGCTTAGAATTTATGAATTTCTAGATTTCGTTCGAGTACATTTGTGTTCGCGTACAAAGGAAAAAAAAAAACATTGCAAAATTTCTATTTTATTTATTGGAGAAATTTCGTAAAGCCGGCCGGCTAGTCGACCCGCGCACAATACCGCGAGCTTCGCAGTGGGCGGCCGTGATTTACAGCGCGCACTTACGATGCTTTACGAAGAGCTTCATTCATATTTATTAAAGTCGCCAGCTTTTTTCAGCATTAAATATCAACGATTTGATATACGCGACACACTGACACCGGTCGATTTTATTTTATTCAGAAACAAAAAACAAAAAAAAAGAAACTTAATATTTATTTTAACGCTCGTATTATGATTGTGTTCGTTGGATATGACAAACGAGAAATTATTATCACACTTTCTATACTGACGGCTATTTCGAGTGTAAATATCAAAGTATTGAGGGAAAAAAGGTTTGCGGTTTAGCATTTTTATGACTTCGAATCGATCGAAAGAAACAGGTTGCATCAGATTTGGAATAAAAAAACGATTCCTAAAGAGTGTAATGGTTTAAGTTTGTGAAGGTGAAGTTATTTTGATGTGATGTCGAAACGAAATAACTTAATCATGTTATTATAATAACGTTCTCACTAACGTATAGACCATAGCGATTGGAGTTCTGCGTAAATTGTAAATGTGTGCCGTATATATTTTAAACATTTCAAAGAAACGCTTCTATAATTTCAATACATATATATATATATATATATATATTTTCCCTACCTATGCTGATAGCCTTGAGCGGCTATTTCAGCTTCTCCTTGACGTGTAGGTGAGCTCACGGGGCTCAAACCGGGAGTGTTGCTAACACTGGCCCGAGTAAGAGTAGTGCTTCGCAGAATCTATTACCATCGGATCAAAAACGCGACCCACTGAGAAGATCCGCCGAGAAACTCAGTGGGCTATTCAATATAATGACAGCGGTTCGATGTTCAGTGTGCTTAGTGCGAGTTTTTTAACGTTCTCGAGAGCGTCAAAATTAACTCAAATTTGTATGCAGTCGGAACAGCGCCCCTAGCGGCAAACGAAGGCAGACGTTCCAACTCCATACAAATTGAGTTAACTTTTACGCTATCGAGAACGTTAAAAAACTCGCACTAAGCACACTAGTGTCGAAGCGAGAAATCAGTTTTTTATTTTTTTTATTTGAAAGGTGCTACTCATTACTTTAACATCTCCTTCCGAAACTTTGTTAGTCTAAAAATAGTAGCACCTAAGATAATGATATTCGAGAACTCTCTGTTATCGACAGATGCATTAACAATGGCATTCGTTAATAAAACCGATGTTATAACCGGTCCAAATTCTTTCAGTACAAAATTTAAATACATATTTGTGGCCGACACGCAAAACCCGATGCAGGCACTAAACCAGCAAAAGGGCGAATGTTTTTAACCCTAGCCGGCGACCTTGACTCTGGAACACGATCGTTAAGTGGCCCGCTCAATTACCGCCGTCATTGCAGATATCATCGAGATACACGTAGGTCAAGAAATGCATTTGTACGATGGGAACTGTGCTACTATGTATGGCGATACACAACTCGGTACGTTGTGGGAACACTGAAGTAAATACAGGGCAACCTCGATATAACAGATTGGTAGGGAATAAGTATTTTTTTTTTATTACATAGAAGTGTGGACGAGCTCACAGCCCACCTGGTGTTAAGTGGTTACTGGAGCCCATAGACATCTACAACGCAAATGCCGCCACCCACCTTGAGATATGAGTTCTAAGTTCTCAGTATAGTTACAGCGGCTGCTCCACTCTTCAATACCGAAACGCATTACTGCTTCACGGCAGAAATAGTCAGGGTGGTCACAAGAGGTCCTACCACCAGTAAAACTATTCGTTATATCAAGTAATTCGGTAAACGAGGTTTGTTATATTAAGGTTAGGTTGGTCTACTATTTGTTACAACGTGGTAAAAAAAATGTTTCATTCACCTCAACATTACGTATTCATCTTGTTATAACGAACAACTTTTATTAATAAATGATAACACATTTTTATAAAATTACTGTATGTATTTTCTATTTCAAAACAATTAGGTAGGTAACTTTTCTCAAACCTATCGAGACTGATTCACATACTATGTATGGGATTAAGGGTCTTATTGGTGGGAACGTTACATAAAGGTTTTGGGTTGACAAAATTCGTTAATTAGAGGTATTTACAACTTTTTGTTGATAGTTGAAAATTCGTAATATAGAGGTTGTTCGCAAGAAATCTTCGCAATGTAAAGGTCTATTTTACATTGGCTCTTATGGACAATTCAAGGGGAAAAAGTGGAATTTGTTAAATCCTGGACGTCGTTATATTGAGGTTCGTTATATTAAGGTTGCACTGTACCACCAATTTTTGTTGTTTTTATTATCACAACATCTTGATCGTATTCGCTGTTTGACGAGGCACTAAAACAACGGTATATACGTTCCGTACGTCTCTAACGTTTGATTTCGAGCAACACAAATAAATTAATTTGCTTCGTTTTTGTCGACGTAACCGACTAACTGTCATGATGAAATAGCGAGAATGCAAATACAATTCACCGACGACGGACTTAAAAAGTATATTGATGTATGAGGAGTTTCGGGGAAAGCCGCATCAGGCCGTAGCTTCAGGCGCACCATAACTCATAAATGACTAATGACGGGGTCGACGCACTGACGTGATGATTTCGTTTCTAATTCTGGCTATTTTTTGCACTGTATTCGTGATACCGCTACCCGTAAACCGCTTGTACCCGTAGGATGGAAACTTTTTGTTTGGTCAATGCTTTTGCTGTAACTTTTCCGGTCTTATCAAGTACGGTCTTATTTCTTAGCATTGGAACTTAGAGAATCAAGCCACGCTTTTATTACTTTGTACATCATTCAGTTTAAATTTAAATGGAAAGAATAAAGTTGAAATGTTTCTTTGGACTAAACAAATTATTTTTCTATTTTCATGTTAATTTGATTCGTATTTCTCGAGGTATGTAGGGGAGAGGTCTATCTGGGGTTAAGTGGTTACCGGAGCCTATAGATGCGAATGCCGCCACTCGCTTTGAAATAAACATAAGGTCTTAGTGTCAATCGTATGTATGTATTACAGCTGTTCCACCATTTAAAACAGATACTGCATATTTTCTCGGCAAGAATAGGCGGCGATGCCTATACGCGAGGACTGACCACTACCCATAGCGATTGCGCAAATTTATATATATTTTTTGGGTTTCATTTTATTACACTATGTTGTTTCTTTACAAGATGTTCACGAACCTGTGTTTGTTCTGTATTTATTGATAAATTTTTATAACGTGCCTGTGTCTAAGGGTGCCCCTGGTATGCTGATGTTACATGAGGCCTTCTACCTTCACGCCAATACACGACACCAAGAAACTATTACAATGACTTAGGCAAATGCTTAAGAATACTTTCACTGCAGCTCGAGAGATGTTGATAGAAAAAGGGCTCGGACAAATTGACTTGTCCTTTTATAGTAATAGTCTGACGGTTCTCGAATATTCTGCATGATATTGCTGCGCTAATCTCGCCTTCGAACTATAGACAACATCGCACAGTCACGTCATGCAGCGTCGAGTGAGAGAACTAATGAGTTTTTCAAAATTATTTTATTTCCCCACACTGCGCCACGTATACGCTAGATGGCGTTAATTTAAAAAAAAAATCAAATTTATTTTTTCCATCTTTACAAATGGATCTGCCTTCTGTATTTTCACCCTAGCACAGTTGCATCACTGGATACGAGAAAACCGGCTTACCTATTAGACGTAGCTTCGCTAACTAACAGTGCTTCACAACAAAACTACTTTTTTTCGTATAGTTAATTTATCGATTGATATTTTTGCTGTGACAGCATTAGTAGTGGTTCAGTTATCGAATGTTTTCGATCCATGGAAGTGTGCGGTTTTGTTTCACTTTCATTTGCTTTTTACGAGAGACGTGCCCAGTCGAGCGTGCACCAGAATGTAGGTCCCGCTGAGATTCACTCAATTTCGATTTTTTTTTTGCAGCAGAGAATCGTTCTGTCTTGTCAGGTGCCATGAAAATCGATTTCGTCTCAGAATTTTGGTGCGGTCTCGTGGCGATTAAAAATATTCGTTTGTTATGGATTTTTTTTAATACGCTTTTATTAGCTTCAGACTTATGTATGTTTGTAACGGAATCTTGGAACATGATTTTTTAAATATATAAAATATTGAAATACAACTAAAAAATGAATAATAAATAATAGTTTAAAAACTAACAAAATACGCTTTTATAGAAAGTCCAACAAAAAATAGAAAATAAATTTTAATAAATTTGAATTAAAGATAGTGTCAGAAAAAATGATCTTATTGTAAAAAAAAGCGTGGGGTGCATGGTATCAGTAGTTATAAATATTTTAAGAACAGATATGAGTAGAAGGGTTATTTTGATAATATCCTGAAAAGCACCCCTTTTATAGTTGGATTTTCTAAAAAAGCGTATTTTGTTAGTTTTTTAAACTATTATTTATTGTAGTATGGTCAGCTTGTTTTCTCTGAAAACGCTAAAGGTTGGTAAAGGTTGAATAAGTCACGCCAGGAAGATATATAATTATTAAGTAACGTCAATAGCATAAGATAGTTACATAGCGCCTGAAAAAACTGTATCTAGTCTGGCCTTTCTTGAATTTGTGCTATTTCTTTATTATAATAAAAACAATAATAAAAGTCGGCATTTATTTTCGAAATAAGGAAATCGAATACAAAATTGATGCTCACAACTGATGAACTAACCAAAAGGCACGTTTGGTTGC